CATTTGAAGATTCCCTGTAAGTAGCTTTTCACAATTGAACTTGATAATTGAGCATGTATTTTATCTACAACAACTAATAAAACATAATAAGTGAACATTTCCCCAAAAATACTACAAATTTCACTTGCTGCTCAACTACAACCTACAAATACTTTGTTGGTTGTCAAATTTCTATGCTTAATGAAATAAAAATACCAGTTACTCACTAACTATATAAGTAAAGTATGGAGTAACGTTACCAAGGGAGTGGAATACGGCATATATAAGCTCTATTTTCAAGAAGGGGGATCGTAGGAAGTGTACCAACTACAGAGGAATTAGCATTATATCAAGCAAGGGAAGACTATATGGAAAGATAATCAAAAACAAAATAGAAGACCAGATAATAGGGAAAATAGGTGAAGATCAAGCCGGTTTCACGGCAGGGAAGTCATGCGTTGATCAGATATATACGGTAAGGCAGACTATGGAAAAGAAAAAAGCTAAAAACAGAGACATCCATTTAGCATTCATAGATATAAGAAAAGCTTATGACTCTATACCCAGACAACAACTTTGGAAAGCAATGGAAGATATTGGGATAGAAAGAGAACTAATAAAAGCCGTAGATACAATGTACAAGAACAACGAGTTGTCGGTTAAAATAGGTAATAGGTACACAAATCGATTCACAACATCAAAGGGCCTACTACAAGGATGCCCTACATCAACAACGTTGTTTAAAATCTATCTTGAGAGGACGCTAACACAATGGAAAAGAAAATGTCAAGGTATGGGAGTCCCAGTACGCGACGACCACTTATACACCCTAAGCTTTGCCGACGACCAGGTGGTCATAGCCCAGGATGAAGACGACTTGAGTTACATGCTCAGAAAGCTGAAAGAGGAATATGAGAAGGTAGGTTTGGAAATAAACTTCGAAAAGACAGAATATCTAACAACAAAAGAAGGGGAAATCGAAGATTTAGAAATAGATGAAAACACAACCGTAAAAGCAACAGACAAATTTAAATACTTAGGGGTGTATAATAACAAAAGATGGATCAACAGAAGAAGAAATCAAATCTAGACTAGGTCAGGGTAGAACATGTATAAAACAACTGAACTCCATTATATGGAACAAGAAATTAACAAAGAAAACAATAATATTTAAGACAATAGTAGAAAGTATAATTACATACGGAGCAGAAACCTGGCTATTGAACAAAAAGAACAAATCTAAAGTAACCGCCGTCGAAATGGAATATTGGAGAAGGTGTTGCCAACGAACACGCATGGATAGAATACGTAACGCAGAAATCAAGAGGCAAATGAATGTAGAAAAAGACTTATTAACTACAATAGCAGAAAAACAGCTTAAATGGTATGGTCATGTCAGACGAAGTGACGATAGACGGTGGATAAAGAAAATCACAGAGTGGAGCCCTATGGGACGTAGAAAGAGAGGAAGACCCAGAAGATCGTGGAGGGATGAAATAGATGAAGCCATGGAGGAAAGGGGGTTGGAAGACGGAGATTGGAATGACAAAGATGAATGGAGAGTCTGGTTGAGAGAGGGAAAACGGCGCGAGCTGTAACAAACCCCATATATATATATATATATATATATATATATATATATATATATATATATATATATATATATATATATATATATATATATATATATATATATATATATATATATATATATATATATATATATATATATATATATATATATATATATATATAACTTGACGAAGAATATTGTTCATCTCCTTAAAGGAATCTTTTTCTTCAGGATTTAACCCAAAAACCAAAAACAAAATGAGCAAAGATTATTCGTTTTCAAATTTATTTTATTCATAAAACGTCAACAATGTGGTTGACTACCTAGAAGGATTCCTGCAGCATTATTCCCATATGAATGACATAAATTATTTATTTGCCAAACATGTATAAGAAATACATTTAAAGTTGTGAATATGAGTTATCGAAGTAAACATGCAATGTATATAACAGACAGTTATTATTATATATAGTAGCAGGTAGTTTGTAAATATTACATTTGATAAAGACACGGTGTTGTCGAAACAATTGTCATGTAAAAATATATAATTTCGTGAAAATTTAAACTTTTGGTTGTTATTTATTTTGTTAAATGGATTTTCATCAAGTTAAAGGCCACCTCAGTTCAACCTTTTCTTGGTCTTCTATTAATTAATAATTATTGAACTGTATTTCTGGTACAACAAGAGATTATTATTATTATTATTATTATTAAATCGATTATTTTTAGTTCATTCCGTTCCGACGCGTAGATAGAACAAACCTTACCTGTTGCATACACATATTTTGGTCTTTTCTGTTGATGGGTTATTATTCTGGAATCTGACATACTTTTGAGAGTTAAATTGTCAGCATTCATTCCTGCTTAGATGCCTGCTGTTCATATTTTTTTTTGCGACACACATTTTATTATTCTGTTTTGAGAATGCGAAATCCTTACTAACACATATACAAATATATTGGTTTATCCCACCAGAAGATCGAGTTATCGGTGGGATTTTCCTGTCAAAATTATCCTTTGTTCGCTCTCGAGTCGAAGGCCATTTTTTTATACTTATACTGTGCACAATACTGTGTAGAGGAAAATTGTCCTTTAACGATTTTACAATGAATGCCTGGGACAAGAGAAGCGTATTGTGAACGCGAAAAACATCTCGGATAAGAATGTAATAAAAAAAATTCGATGGAGGAAGAAGTTCGATAGAGTCGCCAGAAAAGCGAAAATTGATTTTGATAAGTCACGGACAGGAAAATGCTCGAAATTGCCAACGATATAGGCGATTGGTCGTTAATCATTATATGCTCGGAAACCGTTAAAAGAGCTCCAAAGCCCTGACAGATGACGCGGCATTAAGTTTATTGTGATCGATGACGTAGCGGTTCAGTTTCGAAAACAAACACTCGTATCAGAATCGACTGCAAAAATTGCATGTTAGACTAAATTGTATCTATCAGGATTCGATAGCGTAAATTGTTCTAATTAATGCCGTCAATTCCCGGAAATCGAATCTAATCGGAAACGGAATTTACGGCGACAAATTGAAACAATTTATGCATTGGATAACTAGATTTCGTATATTCGAATCACAAAAATGGAAAAATCCCGTGGGTGTTTTAATACATCGACATTCGCAATCGAAAACGTTTTTGTTAGACAGATAAGCGACAATGCTCCATTGTCGTGAAAAACTGTACCAGGTAAATTATTTTCAAGTTCATAAAAAGACCGCTAGGGGGCGTAAACTCTACTGTAAAACAGAAAAAACGGGTTTTCTCAAAAATATTCCAAATCAACCTATATCAAAATTACTTTTAACGTAATCTACTGTAGGTACTGTAGATACTGTAGATAAAAAAAAGGATGATGAAGAGATGATTTAAAGGGAAACATCAATAGTAAGTAGTTGATTTATGTTCGGCTTACTGAAACAATTATTAATCTCTACCATTTGTTGTCGATTTTTGATTTTTAGTCGGAAACTAGCCGAACTTTTAAGCCTTTTTCGAAAATTTTTGTTCCATTAGATATAAGACTTATTGGCTTATAATTATCAAGAAAATTTTTTGCTCCTTCTTAATAAATCAGTTTTATTAAAATAATTTTGAAATGAGAGGGGCACTTACCAGTTGTAAACATTAGGTTAATAATTTGGCACACTGGCTTTATGATATGCATATAATTTTTTTCAATAGAGAAGAATTTTGTCAAACCCCGGCGCCGAATCAGATTTTAAGGATAAAATTATATTTTTTATTTCATCTTCTACAACAGTGTTAAGAAAAATAGAACGTTTATTGTTGTTTTTGAATATTTTTTACGCCAAATTTTCACCCACAGTGACATAATGTTCACTAAAAAGCTCGATAATTCTATATATATTTATTTTAGGTAGATTATTTTTTACAAGTTTTATTTTTACATTTATTGATGTATTACTGTTTCCCATAATTTTTTGCTCTTGTTTTTGTTTTTTTCAATTACATTTTTACAGTATGTAGTTTTTCAATCATTAATTTGTATGATTATATTTCTGTATATTTCATAATCGTTAAATAAGTGTTCACTATTTGTTCTCTTATATATATAATCCATAAAGTTTATAGTTACAGTTTTTGTAGATTTTGTAGAAAAGAAATTATTTGTTGCTATTTCTGGATCATTGCCATTGTAAACAGTATCAAAATTTTCATCAGTCATTATTTTTTTTTTTTTGAGCCAGCATGGCGTTAGAAATCATAAGGTCTTCAATTGTTATGGAACCCATCCGAGACATCAATTTATCTCATATTCTTCTCAACCTATTGCATCTGAATTATATATGTTATATATATATATATATATATATATATATATATATATATATATATATATATATATATATATATATATATATATATATATATATATATATATATATATATATATATATATATATATATATATATATATATATATATATATATATATATATATATATATATATATATATATATATATATATATATATATATATATATAAATATATATATATATATATATATATATATAAATATATTTTACAGTAGAAGTTACGCGCCCTGACGGCCATCTTACGAACTTGAAAATAATTTCCATCTTTTTCTCTTGGTCAATTTACCTATAAATATCTTACGTGTAAAAATGAAAAATGCTGAGTAGAATTTATAATTTCCGTTTATAAATCCGTTTTATGCTGCTGTCATGGCGTAATCTTAAGTTACAATGTCGACCGAAATCCCCAAGGAAAATTGCAATTTTCCAACCAATTAAGACGATTAAATTTAGTCGCCTTCGACGAGTCGTCGGCTCAATTAAACGTTTTTCTATTCGATTAAATCGTCCATTTTTGGGTTAGGAAATTAAAGGTTCTATCGAAAACCTGAAATTGACTATTTTCGCTGTGGTCTCATTTGCAATTCTTTTCTCGCAGATGTACGTCAAAGACTCGACATTCGACGGCGTGAGCATCTGCGTCGTAAATTTGACCGACGATATGAAGGAGTACATGAGAGGAATCTTCCTGGTTACGTAAGTACACTTGCGTCAGCGGGAAAATGGAAGTTGCCGTTACTTGGGGCATGCGTGTCAAGTACTGTTTCTTCTTCTGATGCTGGCAAATGCAAATAAGACTTTCGCAAATACATATTTTATTTTGTTTTTTTAATATTTTATTTATGTGTCTAGGATGGTGTGACCATCATAAATATTGTCTACCGGGTCACTTGATTATGTGAAAAGTTGTAAATGAAACTTTTCTTTAATTGTCTAATAGCAAATACCATTTAAGGTAATGAACTATTAATTTTGGCGGGGACAGAAACGTTTTAAAACCTATACTTTTCTTGACATTTTGACTAGCTAACTTTTTAAGAAGACTTCGATATTGTAATTGGCTGCCTAAGTAATATTTTGTTTTTATGAAAATGTAGTTTTCTACTCCCGTCTGTAAAATACCTAATTACGCACCGATCTAGCGTGCGGGAACCACGTCAGTTTTGTTTCCCACGAATTCGGACATTTCCGGGATTTGACCGCACGGGTTTGGGAGCAATCGGATGTTTTCGGAGATATTTCCCACGCTTTGAATTTTGACGTTTATCAATTCTGACAGTCATGTCAGTGCATGTATTCGTGTTTGGCGAAAATGTACCCAGAAACTAACGGTCGTAGAGAAAGTATAGTTTGCAACACGCTCCGTAAACTTTTTAACTCACTCGTTTATTAAATACTCGCTCCGCTCGTGTCCAATAAAATCTTGAGTCAAATGCAGTTTACCGCACTCGTTGCGTGATACACTATTACTTACCTGGTGTCTTCCTTCCTATGAGCTTATTTCTTAACGGATTTTGAAAATTTTGATGTCAAAATGTTGAAAAAAAATTGTTCCCACTAGGATACTATTTGAAAAAACTGGGTTATCCTAAAAAGTAAAGTAAAGACAAGTAAATAAAGTTTCATTTACAACTTTTCACATGATCAGGTGACCCGGTAACCAATATTCAGGTCATAGCCTCCTAGACACAATTTTCAGAAATTTAAAAACACAAAAATAAAAGAAAAATTATCCTATCTCACGTAGTCATTTAAAATTCGAACGTTACTAACTAAGTGCAACCATTGACTACATATTGTCAAAAAATTGTACATTCAGCCCATATTAACCCTTGCAAATGTCAAATCCATATCTCAAGCCGTTTAAAAGTTTTAGAGTGTTCCCACTTTCTTGTATCACCCAGTATACTTATTATCATTATCATAAAATTTTAATAATGATATAATAAACGACTTTCATTTCAGATAATAGCATGACAAACATACAATACAGAGACCAATTAATTTCACCGTCGACTGGCACAGTCTAGCATAGAATTAGCTACTATACTGAAGAAAAATTAAAAAAGAAATTGATGATGGCGCCCAAATGCATGAGAAAACTGAAAAAAAAAAACACAGAAAAAAATCTCTACAGCAAATTCTGTAGATGCAGTAATTATTTCTTGCATTTGAGTTTTCGTTTACCAGGTTATTTAGGTATTGAATTATAATATTTTATGGCGTTATAAGAAAAACTCCTCCTGAACTTGGCACTCTGTTGAAGAGGCATTGTTAAAAATTCCGTAGCCCTAACATCCTAAGAATAGAAAAATTAGAAATATTATCATACTTTCTTAGCCATACACAAAGCCCACGCACTGGTTTTAAATTCTTCGAATTCGACGTTCACTTTCATTATCCAAACTTGATCAATAATTGCAAATACCATCCACGTATTCAGAAAGTCAGAGACCCGCACCATGTTATATAATAGTTATATGTAATTGAAATTGTTATTAAAGTAGCATCCGAAAATCTATTAATATGCAGGGTGTCTCGTTTCAGAAAATTGAGAAAATTATCATTTTGCGAAACGTGGCAGCACCGCGTATTTTTGGAAAATATTTTAAATTTGATCACTGGCAAAGAAAACATTATTTTCGTAATAATGACAGAAAAAAAGAAAAAAGTTTAAAAAGTTAATAAAATAAACATGCCAACAATGATAATTAAAACGTAGCCTGAATTCTGAAGATGATCGCTAATAAGTTCGAAATGGTGCATCACAGACCGATACTCATATATATATATATATATATATATATATATATATATATATATATATATATATATATATATATATATATATATATATATATATATATATATATATATATATATATATATATATATATATATATATATATATATATATATATATATATATATATATATATTGTTGAATTTGTCTTTGAAAGGACTATAAAAAATGCAATAAAAAGTATAGTTTTCTATTGAAAAATTGGTTTTGCCACCCTGTATATAAAAAAGTGACCCTTGGGAAAATAGATTTCGAGATAAGCTATAGGCCCCTCCTAAACCAAAACTCTCAATTGTGGGGTACCTATGCCCAAGTATCTTACCTACGGGAAAAGACTATCAATTTAAATTTGGAACTGTAGATGGCAGAGAAAGGATTTTAAAAATGCCCAATTTTTCAATTTTTTTCCATGCAAAAGTCGGAACAGTAGCGTCCAAAGCAATCCTTAATTTTAAAAGTACATTCAGTCTCTCACCTTCAGGCAGTTCCTGGTAGGTAATCCATCAGATTTACGTGGCTTTTACTTGATGAAAATCCATTTAACACAAATTAAATTAGAACAAAAAATGTTCAGATTTTCACAGTTTTTAATGCTTTAAGACAGCTGCTTCGGCAACAGCCCTTATTAAATACCTTTGATAAAGGCACGGTGTTGCCGAAAACTGTGAAAATCTGAACATTTTTTGTTATCATTTAATTTGTGTGGATAATCCATGTTTGATCAGCTAAGAAATTGTAATTTGGTTTGTGCTAATCAGCATATGATCGGTGGAGAAACTAAATCTAAAATCTTAGGTGATTAATCTGTAATTTATATCTCAAGATTTCTCCCAGCAACAGTGGAAGGTGAAGTTAGGTAATTCTCCTACTCAAATGATTAATAAAAGTCGTTTACTTTGCTATGGCTCGCCATAAGACGCAAAATTAGACTCGTTCAAGTGTGTTTAGTAAGTTACAATTCAACTGACATGGTTCAACTTCCGTCCTTAACTAATTACTAGTTGAAACTGCAATATAGTCAAAATCGGTCTTATCATGCAGGACTTGTATATTTATAAATTTATAAACTACAAACTTTCACGTTTGTTTTGAAATGAAAAAAAAGGATAACCTGATAAATTTAATATAATTAGTGACCTTTACAGCTGCACGATACCACTGTATTTGACCATATCGGTTTTATTTTAATCGTAGGCGGATAGTTTCTAGTCTGTAACAAGTAGGGTGTCGATGAAACGACTGTAAAATCTTCACGGATCAGCTACCACGAGTCCGTGGCTAACGGTTCAGAACTCTGACAAAATAAAGTGTGTTACTCGTAGCAACATAAATCTCTTTAAGTGACGACAACATAAATTTTCCTGCAGCGCTGTACCGTTTCATCCAGGATCCGTGGATCACCGTTAGCAGAAGACTGCTTCGGACGGCAACGTTTTTCTGAATCGACTGACTGTCGTAACCACTCTCGTTGTGCGTGACATTTAGATTAATTATTTGTCCCTGTATTCCTGTAGTATGTTTTGCGGTAAACGGCATTTGATTCACTATTTAATATTCGAGTGATTTAAAAACTCTGCAGAATTGACAAATGTCCAAATTCAAGCCGAAAACATCCGATTGTTCCCAAATCTGCGTGGTTATACCTCGGAAACGTCCGAAGTGGCTCGCAGCCGTAGGAATCTTAGTACATACTTGTCAATCCACACCCACAATGTCTGTTGAACTTTTTACAAAACTTCCGGCTGGCTTCATCAGAGCTTAAATTAAACTAGCTTGCATTTTATTCTGTACCTGCTTATATATTGTTTGAGGGAGGCGGAGCTAAATGATTTGCTTAAACATCTGACTGATTCCCATATTGGCGACAAGTTAAGAGCTGAGGTGCGATTAAGATTGTTAGATTGGTTATAGATTTCTATAGACTCTCGGATTTTTCGTTGGTAGAAGAGTCGATTACATGCAAGAATTTTAGTTTTATCGAATAAAATTTTATGTCCGGTTTGGTGATTGTGTCCGGCAACTGCTTTTGGGTTTATCTGTCTTAGTCTCAAAGCACTTTCATGTTCTTCGAGCCTAGTTGATATTTTTCGTCCTATCTCTCCAATGTATTCTTTGCTGCATATGCATGGAATGCTGTCAACTCCTGCTATCTCAAATGGAATTTTGTCTTTGACGGATCGAAGATGTTGAAAGGTTTTGGGACAAATGATAGATCTGGTTTCCACGATATATTTCCTTAGAACTTTTGATATATGGTCATTGATTTTTTGAATGTAGAACCCTTAATATCTTTAATACGGAAATTATTAGAGAGAAGATCAGAGGTAAGGTGTTTTGATTCTGATTTTTAGGCCGGATTGTGATGTGGCAAAGCATTAAGGTATCGGTCTGTGTGCACATGCGGCAAAGAATATATTGGAGAGACCGGAGAAATTTCAACTAGGCTCAAAGAACATGAAAGAGCCTCAAGACTAAGACAAACAAACTCATCAGCATTTGAAAGACATAATCACACAACCGGACATAAAATCCGGGAATCCATAGCTTCGCCCCCCTCAAACAACGTATAAGCAAGTATTCATAGATATAAGAAAGTGACCAATTGCTTTTAAATGGGATTATCCAATGCAACAAAATTACTAAATAAAGTTTCGGAATTTAAATTCAGGTAAAATTGTGGTCCGTAATAGAAAATAATTTTATACCTACCTGTGTGTAATATTCTTTGGTTTGGGATACTACTTAGTTTAAGTTTATTAGCAATCATTCTTATTTCGTGTGTAATACAGCGTGTGTTCAATCATGTGCGAATTATGCAAAATATGCAGGAGTCTAGTGTATCTCAGAAGATGCTCCCGCCCAAATGTAGAAAACACTATTCTATTGAGACTAAGAAAGTTATAAACAATGTTTATTTGACTCTTATTGAACGTGGTGCCAGCAAGCAAGCACCTTTAGAAGAAACGGCCACATTGATGAAAATTCCAACATCAACATTACCATGAAGACACCACCGCTGATTTATTTGAAAGTTGGTTTAAAAACAAACTAGTTCCAAACATTCCTCCTAATAGCGTAATTGTAATGGACGGAGTGTTTATTATTAAGGTTTACGTGAAACAAACCTTTATACCTAAATTTATTTAGCCCTGCCCACGTCATTAATTAAATCTCAGACACGATTTGCAATGAGACAAACTCGCCTCGTTGGGACACTTGAATGTTTTCGAATCGGGGTCTAACGGGACGGGGGAATTGTTTTTCAAGACGCGTTTGCCGATCCTTATCGTCGTAAGAATTAGATTTGACGCGCGACTGGGGGTCGGAAATTTTATGCGTCTGAATTGTCGTAAACAAACGCGCGCGCGAGAGAGTGAGAGAGAGACGGAAAAAAAAATCGAATCACACGCGTTGGCGGAAGGACATGTTTGTTTCCGCGTCGGGAGAAAATTTGACAGTTCTGCGGGTGGCACGTACGCTCGTAAATCAATATGTCGCGAGCTCTAAAACTTCTGACGCACAAAATCTGATTAATTAATTGGAGAGAAGAGCTTTTCTAATTAACACGCGGCTTAACCCGAATCCCCCCAAAATGAGGTTTAAAAATGATTAGGGAGAATTTCAAAACAAAAAAGGGAAGTGGTCTTAAAAAAAATAGGAAAGGCAAAGTGCCAGGTGGAAAAAATAATTATAAATTCATATTTATACGGGGTGTGATAATCTACTAAGTGAATGTAAACCCCACCTTGATGCCGGATCGTAATTTTGTTCGGACCCTACTAAATGATAGCAGTTAGCTATTTAAAAGATTTTATATGAGGCGTTATTTTTTTAAAACCATAAAATGAGGTTTAGCGTTCCGGTTATTGTACCACCAAAAATATAGTGCATTTAATGCTTTGACGTTTTAAGTGTTTTACGGTGCTATCAAGGCTTACAACTCCCTCTCCAACTGAGATCAGTCACCTCATTAACTTCATTCAAACAAAAACGTAAACAATACATTTATCATAATAGAGACCGATCATTAAACTAGTAAAAATTCCATTAAAGAGTTTATTACCCTACCAATCACTTGCTTAGCGACTTCAATGAGTTTTCCCAGATAAATTTTTGCACTCTAGACATTCCTATTTAGGAATATCAATTTTAATCCCGATATGTTCTATTATGTAAAGAAAAAATATGATTTTTAGATACGCCGGTCCCCTGGCTGCGATATCATACTTTTTTGTGTGCTCCTCACGTGAGCTCGCGTATCACAGCAACGCGGCCGCCGTGTATTTCGATTCAAGGACGAGAGGAGATGGTAGATCCCGTACCGATTCCAATTCTACGGTGACTGCGACGACTACCGATCTCAGGTAAACAAACGGAAAGCGGAGACGAGCTCTAATTAAAATACGCTTCGGCGTTTCAGAAACAGAACGTCTAAGAAAAATAACAGCAACGCTCTTTTTTTTTTTTCAATAAGCTCGGAAAGTTTAAATTGGGACGCGTACCATAAAGGAGGTTGTTAAAACCTGGTGGTGGTTTTCCGGGAAATTATTTTTAGTATATTTATTTTTATTTTCCATACTAATCAAAAAATTAATTCTTACATTTCGCCGTTTGGTTAGTCCTTATCTGAAGTTAAAATGCAGTTAGTAGATATGTGAACATTAATATAGCTCATCGAACGAAGCAAAACAAATCAACAAGTGTGGATCGTATCCGTAAAAGTCATGCAGTTAACTCCGCGAGGGGCGAGGGAGGCGATTGTGTTTTGATGTTATGTTTGTCCGAGCCCCCTTTGTTTATCTACTATCGACAACGAATGTAGTCGTATAACATACAAGCTCAAACGGGTCTTGTAGAAGCAGCAGGGGTGCGTGCAGCCAAGACAGCCGCTACAGCACCGACAGCTACGCGGACTACGGCCGAACCCGCTACGAGACGCACGAGCCAGAGGTAGATGTGGTGAAGGAAAAACGCACCCAATATTATTTGGGAACGATCATCACCGTCAACGCGGTCTGTCTGTGCCCGTTGATGATCATGAGGCTCGCCAGGTCTGCTTTCCAACATGACCGTCGAATATCGCTAGGTCCACTTTTGATTTCAGGGTGGCTTTATCCGAGACCTACGACAATAGCAGCCACTTCGACTACACCTACGTCATATTCGTCTGGGTCGGGTTTCTACCTACGTGCGTGACGCCGCTGGTATTCACTTGTTGGCAGATGAGCAGGTGAGGGATCGGATCAATTTTATAGTATAGTATAGTAGCATAGATGGTGGATGGTGGGGCTCCGTTTCAAAGTCGGTTAGAGGTCGCGCTGTGGAGACGCGAAAATAAATTATCGAATAAATGAATTAACAGACGAAACGTCTCCTTTATTAAGGGTTGAATTTTTCAGTTTATAAGTTTATATTAATGACGGTTCACGATTTTTCAAAGAAACTTCCACAGACCACTATAACACTGTTTGCAAATCTGCAAATCTGATGAATCGAAATTGCTGACGTTTCGCCAATCATCCTGTTGGCTTTTGGAGGGCCCGATTTTCGAGAGAAACAAAAACTGAAAACCGCATCGTGATATGTCAAGGCCCTTTTTAACATTTTAAAACATTTTTTTAAGTTTTTTTAAGTCTTTCTTTGTCTTAGAGCCTTTAGTTCCCGAGATATCACGCAAAGTTGTATTTCGTAAAATAGGATACCCCCAATTTTTCTAAAAAATCAGTTTTCTAATAAAATTTCCTGTCGAACGATGTTCCATACACATATTTTTATTGAATAGTTTAAAATATATTTGCAATTTTTGATATTTACTATAGTAGGCGCTGTGTAGATAAAATTTTATTTATTTTTTTTTTCATACAAAATGAAGTTGGCTACGACACGACGGGACACAGCAACCTCGCAGCACTTTAACTTTTAGTTTACAATTATTACCAACCCTAAAATAATAAACGGAAATAAAACTATTAAAACAATTTTTTTATTTAAAATTTTTATTAATTAAACTATGTAACACTTAAATCTGCATAGGTTAGAGTTCTTAATTTTCGACTTCTTTTGAAAATTGAACCCGTAACATGCATATCAGTTTTGGGCTAACTATGCTGCAAATGCGTACAGAGTAGAATACTTTCAGTAAAGCTCTGAAGAAGCCAACCGGATGATTGGCGAAACGTCAGCAAGTTCGACCAGAGGATTTGTAAATAAACGGTTCAGGGTTATTATTCATATTCCAGATCGTCTAAAAAACGTTTGAAGGGTTACTTTCGATTCAGCAACCGGAAGTTGAGGCACTCGTGCGAAATGGTAGTCACATCCGCTGGCACGCCGGCTTCCAGACTGAAAATCGTGGAATCTTCCGACAGATTGGAAGACGTCTGTCAAATTAACAGAGCCGGATGCGCGGGCAGTTCGTTTTGTTGATGTTACTGACCCGGAAAGGTGATAATTTATTTGCCCAAAAAGTTTGAAAATTTTTTTAAAGGCTGTTTTTTTGTCGGAAGTCACGAGATATAGCAATTAAAGACCAAACTAATGACAAAATTTATATAATATACTAAATTAAGTGAAATAACTCAAAGCTTCATTGTATTTATTCTGTGATTATTCCATAATTATCGACGCTGATTTCCTCAGGATTTTCATATTTTCTTTGAACGGCTCTAGCAAATTTAAACCTTCGGAACTAAATCTGTTTTCATTTAAAGCTTTGATTTTGCGTAAATTTGCGATTCTTGGATCAGACGGAATTAATAAATTAAAAATCTGTTACATTTTCTCGCGTTGTTCCCTATTCCCTGGAACGTTGTCCGATTGGTACTGGACTGGACTTCACGATCTCTTTTCCAGGTATCAATATTTTGTGGATTATTACTGGCATTTTGTTCCAAGAATACAGGAAACCAATGAAAATGGTAAATTGGTAATTTCTCGGAAACTGCATAATTTTTGAAAAATACAAGCCCATAGTTTCCATCATTTGGGTTACCTAAGCGTTGCCTTTTCTGGTCTACAATCGGGGAGGCAGAGAGACAAGAGTTTTATTTTTTAGGAAGGTTTATGAGACAATAAGCATCCGTATAAAAAAAACTGTGATACTGTTTTGCTCGATCCTTGAGATATCTCTAAGCAAAATTCAAGAATTTACTTTAGGTAATAGAAGAGGAATCTAAAAAACAAAATTAATACATCTTTATTGATATACGTCTGTCAAAAAAGTCTCAATACACATAGTTTTTTTTCAGTTTCTTCTTTCACTTACTTTTAATGAGAAATGTATTTCAAGTAGATATCGGCAATCTCATTAAGAGTAATAAAAATAAAAAAATGGGATATAAGTCTCCATACACTTTGAAAAATCACTATTTGGAACTGCAGGTAAAAAATTTAATTATCAATATTTTATCAAGTCAGCATGTATCAAATTTCGCTTGAACAAATGAGTTATACTTGTTTATTTCTGACGCCACTTTTAAGTCAGTGGTTTGGCACTTCGAAAAAGGATAATAGATTTATGGAAATCCATCTGATCTTATGCGGCCACGTCCTGATCGGCCCAGGAAGTTAACTGAACGAGAAGAGCCTTCAAGTCCAAAGCCCCCTTGATTAATTAAAAGTCAAATTTTTAATTTTTCAAACTTTTTGGGTCATCCTAGCGGCTAGGAATGAATAAATAATCTTAAATTGCAAGGGAAAATTCAGTTTCTTCACGATATTTGGCTATACCTGAAGAGTTTGAAGTTACAGTTATTATTATTTGCCAATCAGATCTCTAAATCTGATTTTTCTCATTTTTCAAGAATACGATCTTTAAAATTCACTATAACAAACAATAAGATTAAAAAATACGAAATTAATTTAAGAAAACTTTTCATACAGCGGTGCTTCCAGTGTTCGAAACATTTTTGATATTCATCTTTGGCTGTAGCCGACAGCTCATCCCTCGTTTTTTTCTTTACCTCTTCAATGTTGTCAAATCGCTGTCCTTTCATGTCCCTTTTCATACGTGGAAATAAGAAGAAGTCACACGGAGCGAGATCAGGCGAGTAAGGTGCACGGGGTAGAGGCACCATGCCATTTTTAGCCAAAAACTGCTTAACAGAAATGGCTGGGTGTGCAGGTGCATTATCGTGGTGGAAGAACCAGTCCCTTGTCCGCCACAAATCGGGTCTTTTTTGTCGAATACTGTTGCGCAATATTCTTAAAACTTCCAGATAAAAAGCTTGATTAACGGTCTCGCCTGGCGGAACGAACTCTGCCTGAACTACGCCGTTGATGTCGAAAAAGCAAATCAGTATCGTTTTGATGTTTGATTTAACCTATTGGCTGGACTGTTGCTTCGTTTCTGGATCGTAACCATAGCACCATGACTCGTCACCAGTAATTTCTTTGAAAGAAAATCTGGATCCGTTTCAAGCTGTTGATTCAAAGCACGACATGTTTCAACTCGATGTTGTTTTTGCATGGTACTCAGAACTCAAGGAACAAACGTGGCAGCAACTCTTTTCATTCCCAAATCTTCGGTTAAAATTCGCGGAGCCGTGCTCCAAGACAACCCACTAATAATTGTTCAATTGTCTGTCGACGGTCTGTGAGCACAAACTCTCGAATCTTTTCAATATTTTCGTCGATTCGAGCAGTTGATGGACGTCCAGAACGAGGTCGGTCATCAACTGACTCGTCGCCATTTTTGAAGCGAACCAACCACTGGTACACTTGAGTTTTTCCCATCGCATCGTCTATATAAGCTGTTTTTAACATTGACGCGTATAATTGCGATTTTATAGGTCGACGTGCGAGCGAAGAACCTAGGAGGCTCTGAGCAACTAATTTGAAAGTTCACCGGACAGGTGCCGTCGAAAGCCTATCTTATGACGCAGTCGGTGTACAATGTTTCGTCGGAGTAAGTGTTTGATGTTATCAACGAAAATGTTTAGATTATAAGGACGCTCGCCGCAAGCGCTTTCTGGGGCTCTATTTTTGAAAAATGCGAATGCGCTGCTACAGAATAAGAAAAAGTTTGGGCTGCACAAACTGGCGGTGGTGCACTTTAAGTATTATGCAGACTTCGTAAAGTTTTACGTAGAGTTTAAAAGATAAAACTGATGGATCGAATTATTTTTTTAAGTTGCAAATAATATACCCAAAATTTCTTTCTTGTCGATCGTCCACCTTCAGTAAAAGATTTTGTTTAATAATTGGCAGGGGAGCGTTCTTTTCGGGTCAAGAATAGAGCTCCGAAGTGAGACAGTTATAAATTTAAAAAAACTCGACTGTTTGTATAGCGCTGATCGGGATTTTCCTATCGCTCGTACCTCCGATATGCGTCTATTTTCAATTAATCGCGATTTAATGAAAATTTTCGAACTAGAAAGTGCGGGCTTCGGATTTTCCGGATCAACACCAGCCCCGAACGCGTACAAACGGTGGGCTTTTTTTTATTCTTAGGTATGCGATTTATTTCGTTAATTCAAGTGACGTTGTTTTAAACATCGATTTGGTAAAACGCCAAGTTGTAAGGACGAAAATTCCAAGTTGCTCACTTAATACGAGGGACCCAGTACTTTCACGTTGTTAAAAATGCGATCGTTTTGGCGAGAACATCGTAATCGCTGTGTCAAAACGTCCACCGTTAAAAAAAAACAATACATATTCGTACCTGCTAATTAAAGTGAGGATTTTTATATTTTTATTATTAAGTGACGTTGAAACTGTAAGTGGTAATCCAAAAATACTTCACTAGAGCCGAAAAATGAATTTTCTATTGGATAAATTTAGTGGTATCGTTAAACGTAGTAGTTGTAAGCGTTTTACGTGTGTTATGATATACTTGAAACAAATTTTCTGCATGTACGATAAATATACAGGAGTTATAGCCACGTGTTGTTAATTATTTAATCCCTTATCATTCGCCTTTCACAATTTTACCGGTTATGATGGTCACTTTGTCTTTGGTTCGCCGACCTAGGAATGCGAAAATATTCTATAGCCTATCTGTGAGGACTATTATCTAGCTACATCATTCAATAGTGGAAACAACTTATTATTTTAAAAGTACATAATAATTCAGCTATTTTACGTCATTGTTCCAAAGACTGCACAGAAAATTCATTTAAAAACACTTCGAGATTAAAGGCGATTTCTGCGTGTTTAGACTGAATTAAAATCGTGAGACTTGCGATTCTGACATCTGATAAGTTTTATTGATCATATATTCTATATGCGGCGCAAATGAAAGTTTTTGATCAAACATCCTGAAATCCTGAAATTTACACTTTTCTTGAGTTAAACTCAAGCTATTCTCATTGCACCCTCTATTTACATTAGTGAAAGTGCGTTTAAAAGTTTAATAGAGTCACCTTCACTTTTGACATCACAGTGAAAATTATTATCATCAGCATAATCTATGGAAGTAGGAGGTCATGGTGAGAATAAATTGCGTAATAGTTAAAACAGTATTGGTTGAAGTCATTCTATTTATTAGAGGAAAATCCAAGCTCATACGGATAACTCATTCAAAACATTTTGTGTAGTTGTTAATGATGGTTATATTTGTTTCTTTCCTTTGGACTTGGGATAATGAAATTTCTTCACGGAAGTTTAAACAAATTATAATATTAATAATTATAATATCAATTAATAATTATAATATCAAATTTCAACCTTATTTTGGAAATCTGCATATTGGCAGTGAACTCGATCTTAACTGGAAATTATACAAACAACTGTGGCTTCTCTCTTGCTCATTATAAATACGTAAATACGGCTGTTGGCTCGCTCAGAACTTAACTAAAACAGGCTCGCATTCTATTTTGAACTTGCTTATATATTGTTCGAGGGAGGGCGGAGCTAAAGGATGACTGACTCCCATATTGGTGAAACACCTGAGACCCGGTTAGATGCTTATCGATTTTTATGGATTCTCGGATTTTTCTTTGGCAGCCGAATCGATTACGTGCAAGAATTTTAGTTTCATCGAATAAGATTTGATGTCCGGTTTCATGATTTATTCGGCAACTTCTGACTTTATTCGTCGTAGTCTTAAGACTGTTTCATGTTCTTTGATTGTAATTGATATTTTTCGTCTCTCCAGTGTATTCTTTCCAGCATATGCATGGAATGATGTAAGCTCCTGGTATTTCAAACGGAATTTTGTCTGAGACAAATCAACGTTACAACTTCTTAAGAATTTTGGATATTTGGTCAGTGAAGTTTTGAATGTTAAGAATGGTAACAGTGGCAAATGTGGGATTGCTTTCGGACTCATTGCTATTAGAAGGTTGCGGTGAAGTCTATTTTATGATAGAACGCTTAATATCTTTAATTTAAATTTAAGATGTTTTAATTCTCGATTCACTGATTCGGGTAACAAAATGGTAAAACGTATGTTAGGAAGGTGTCTAGGGTTTTCTCCTCAAAGGATTCCATAAATTTATTCGCGATAGTAGCTGTTTCTTACGTTCATTCATAAATTGGATCGTTACAAGAAAAAATTTTTCAAATAATATGAAAAGATTGGTTTCAGATGCTCGGATTTTAATATATCGGAGAAAATGTTTAGAGTTTCTGGAATAGGTTCTTTAATGAATAGAAGAGAATCGAAACTAACCAGAATATCGTTTGAACAGTCCCTTCAGCGGCTTGAACCAAACGAAATTCAAAGGGTAACGGTTTCCAATGTGCATGGCCAAAAATATTTTACATAGTATTTAACATAAGTAACCAATATTTCAGGTTTTTACCGTAAATCATTTTCCATTAACGTCTAACAGGACACACACCGTGAATAACCCTGTATATGGGAAAAACACTTACTTTTTATTATCCTCATTTCGATCCTTCACGCATGAAGATTCGTGGAAATTTTTCTGTCGTAAAACAACACCTGAAAAACTGACGAGCACGGTCCTACGCCGTAACGGAATGTGTTTTTTTAAGGATTTTTTGAATGAAATAAACAATAGTAGAGAGTTATTTTTCGATTTTCGATGAAATTTTAAACGGACGAAATCGGTATTTTAACACTAGGAGGAATCTTTCTTGATTTTTTTTCTTACGTAATATTCGAGGGACCTATACTTGGACTTTTTTTATAGATATAGGTTAAGCTGCTTTTCGGGTGTCTGTCGTGGTTCATTTTGTATGATGGCGATGTACAACGTGCATTTTTAAATAATTTACAAGGACAGTATGATAGCTGCATTGGGAACACTGATGTCCTTAAATTCGCAAATTTTATCTTTGTGTTTGGAGATGTAATGGTCTGAATATTATATACAGGGTAGCGCAACATTGTATAGCCCTATTATGTCACGCTGCATAGATAGATAGATAGATTGACAGATATTTATTTCGCTTTTCGATACTACATATAACACATATATGGGTATACTAAGCACGTCATATGCAGTGTTTAAACAATACATTTAAAAAAAATCATCTACTGAGTAGAGACACCTATCAGCTCTGTTATATACTTTCAAGCCAAAATACCTTGGGTTTTGTTGCCCGACATGCCCGTAGTCTCTTTGCCGTGTGGCATGTTCGTGCAAGTCACATCTCCTATTCCATCTTATCATGTTACTTTTGACGTAAATCAAAACGGAATAAATATATAATGAAGGAAGTGTCATGATCTGAAGTTTCCTAAATACATCCCTACATGAATGTTTACTAGTTACACGCATCATGTAACGAATAGCACGTTTTTGTGCTAAGAAGACCCGGTGTGCACTAGTGGCTAGACCCCAATAGATTATACCGTAACCTATCACTGATAGGTCAATGTACAGACTGAGAAACTTAGTAGCCTCCACGTTTTCTATAGAACGTCCCTCTAATTGGAGTCAACGCGAGTATTTTTTGTGACTATTTCCATAGCTGTTGACTTAGATTTATTTAATTGTAGTCCGTTATCGCGACACCGTTCATTCACCCTCGTGACCCTTGGTTCTGCGGCCCCTTTTAAATTAGCTCTGTTTTTATCTCTAACTGAAATGCTTGTGTCATCCGCATACAGTACAAATAATGCATCTATATTATCCTGAGGAAGATCGTTAATAAAACAATTAAAAAGGCAGGATCCTTGCGGGGTACCTCTGCCAACATAATGAGGGCTAGATTTTGAACCGCCGGTCACAACCTGCTGTACTCTCTCGGAGAGGTAAGATTTAACCCATGAGTTTGCTGGACCCCTAATGCCCCTATTTTACAGTTTTTTTAAGAGCAGGCTGTGATCGACAGTGTCGAACGCGCGGCTGAAATCAAAAAATAAGCCTAATGTGGCTGTTTGTTATTAAGGCTATTGTAGATATGCTCCAGAGCACAGTCCAGAGCTGTAGTTGTGGCGCGGTTGGCTCTGAATCCGTTCTGAGCATCAGAAATCAAAGAGTATTGAACCGATTGACACAAAAAAGTGGGTATTGGTATTGGTATTAAAGGGGGGCGCCCTCGCGGGCGTCCAAGCACTTAGGCCACCAGATGGGCCCGTTGTGCCCCCAGGCCGCTCAGAGGGCGTCCAGAATGCCTCCTATAGAAGGTCAGCAACTCCTTTAGCCCAATACCGTGCACTGAGTCCGGATCGATCAGGGCCGTTCCAGAGACTCCCAACCTTGCCCATGTCAAGGCAGGGCATTCAAGCAAAGATGCCTCCTCAGCCTGCAATGTCCTGTGTAGGCCCCTGTTAGTGCTCTACTCTCCCTTCTGGTCAGTCTAAGCAGCTCCCTGGTCCGAGTAAGGGCGGGCCCATCCATCATAAGCCTCGCCTGCCTCATTCCCGGAGCAACTCTCCAGCCCCTCGCGGCCCGGTCTCTCGCCCAGGCTTCGAGAGCTCCCCGCCTCACACACGGGGCGATCCCCAAGCGGGGCTCTGGCCCTATATGCCTCTCTGGTTAAGGCGTTCGCTGCCTCATTGACCCAGACCAACGTGACCTTTCTCTCCCCAGTACCCCTTTGCACTCCTTTATCAACAAGGAGCGCGTACGCACTGACTTCAGCGCGTCTACTATCCGAGCAGAAGAAGACTCTCCTGCTGGATCTGGATTCTGGATCCGTCCGTGTACCAGACAAGTCCATCCCAGGAGCCGACTCTGCCCTCTCTCCCATCTCCTCTTGATGGAAAGAGAAAGGTCAATTTGTCAAAGAAGGTCATCTCGGGGATCATGACGTGGAAATGCTTATGAGTTACGGTCGTAAAACAACACTTGTCAAACTGGCGAGCACGGTGCTGCGCCGTAACGGAATGTGTTTTTTAAAGGATTTTTCGAATGAAATAAACAACAGTAGAGAGTTATTTTTCGATTTTGTTTTATTTTGTACTTAACGCATTATTTATAACAATCGATGAAATTTTAAACGGATTGATTGATTGATTTTTTTTCTTACGTATCTGTCGTGGTTTGTTTTTTATGATGGCGACGTACAACGTGCACTTTTAAATTGTTTAAAAGGACAGATTGATAGCTGCATTGGGAACACTGATGGACTTTGTTGGTGATGGCGTCCTTAAATTCGCTGATTTTATCTTTATGTTTGGAGATGTAATGGCCGTCGATTTGTTTTTTTTCTTTAACTAATTTCTTGCAGTATTTGCAGACAAAACCGACGGCATCGTTATGAATATTCATGTGCCGTTTTAAACTAGTTTTATTAATCGTTTTGAAAGAACACACCGAACAGTGAAATTCCTTTAAATTCTCGTTGGTATCTGTCGTACTGAAAAAAAAATTACAGATTATTATTATTATTTTTGCCTTTTTATTTATTTATTTTATTTTATTTATTTTCGGAGATAAGGTCGAATAAGTCAAATAAAAACATATTTAATTAACAATTGTACTACCTGGAATAACACTATTTAAATTAAAAATTAAACGTAATAAAAACGTAAAAAAATCGCACACAGTGATCCGGCGAGAATATTAAGTATAGCGAAAATAAACAAAAAGAAAATAAATACATATTATGGAATTATCTAACCAAAATTCCCGACAAAATACACTTACTTTGATTTAAATAACCCAAATATTTCCTAAGAACTGGGAACGAGATAATACATTTTTTATAATTACCTACGATGGATCGTTCTAACGTGGTTTGTTAAATTGGTTTTCAAAACAGTTTTATAGTGACAGTGATCGCAACGATGAATTTTCGAAGTAACCAAGTTTGACACCTCAATCATTTGGTCTTTGTGATTACTGATGTAGTGACTGTCTAAATGTAGCTTTTGTTTAAATATTTTCTTGCAACAAGGGCACACAAACCCAAACGTATTATCATGTCTTCTCGCGTGGACTGTCAAATTAAATTTGTAACGGGTCTCAAAGTTACACAAATGGCACTGAAATTTATTCGCCTTGATATCTGGAGTGTATTTAGTTGTTAATTTGCACTTTGTGCACGCATCTCCCTTGATTGCCCTCGAACGTCTGGAACGGAAGAATTCTACCATCAACACCGAATCGCATGTTATGCCCAAATCGAAAAGATTATCTATCCCAGTTTATAAAGTTTTTAAAGCCATTATTAAAATACTACGGCATGGGCTTTTTAAGAAATTTTGGGTGCGGTTCCCTATTAAATTGCTTTATCATAATATAGTATGAGAATTAACTTATCAATCGAACTGAGGTGGCTTTTACTTGATGAAAATCTATTTATCAAAATAAATAAGAACTGAAAGTTCAGATTTTCACCGCGTCTTTATCAAATGCAATATTTACAAAATACCTGCTACTATATATACCGAAAAATGACAATAAAACCTTAATTAATGTTGTGAGAATTTAAGTTCAATAAAGAAGAGGTATTTAAATCTAATTGATCGTTAAGCAATACATTTGAACGTCTCATTTTGTTAATCTCGATGGCTTCCAATAAATTTAATTTTCTACTTTTGTGGCTGTATGTAAAACATCAAAGTTGTCGTCAAAAATGTATTTTTCTGTGTTTAGGTGTGTAGCATAATTAGTGACAACAACAAATATTTTTTAACAATTATGAATCCACAACCACCGAAATTATATTCTATAGTAAAATTACATAAACAAGATATGCCCATTAAACCAGTCGTGTTTTATGTAACAGCTCCAGCAGTTAAACAAAATTAGTAAATATTTTAAAGTTCCACACAGATTTTAAACCAAAATTTGCAATAAAAAATTCTTTTGAATTAATCAACAAAATTAAAGATATCAAAATCCCTTCTAACGCAATGTCTTTTGATGTACAAAACTTATTTCCCAGTATTCCACCTAACACGGAAACAGGTTAACCCATTGGTGAAACAAGAATTATTAGATTGCTTAATAGTATCTTTAGACCAAAATTATTTTGAATTTAATGGACAGATTTATATCTCTAAAGAAGGTTTGATTGTGGGAAACCCACTTAGTCCTTTGTTGACCAAGATTTTTATGGATAATTTTGAAAATATCATAGTAGAACATCCTTTAAGTAAAGGTTTTTTATGGTGGTATAGATACGTGGATAATGTCCTTGCTTGCTTTGTTGGAACCGACAGACAATTAAATTATTTTTTAAATTACATTAACTCATTACAAAATCGTATAAAATTCACTATCGAAATGGAACATGATAACTATTAATTTTTTAGACTTAACTATTACGAAAGCGCAAAACAAATTAGATTTTTCAATATATCTTAAACCTTATACCACAAAATGACTGCATTAAACTCTTTTATACACAGATAAGGTCATCGGAAATTGAGTTCGGAAACTTCATTTTTTTAATTCTCAACAGAATAGTGCCCTCTAGTGACAGATATCCGAAACACTTTTATTTTGCAACGATGACTTTTACCAGGAGCTCATTCTATTGAGCATGTACTTACTGCCATTATTTTACCACGTTGAATCTTTCCTCCAATTTTCCCAACTCAATTTTCCAACACCCTGTATATATTGGAAAAAGACTTACTTTGTATTATCCTTGGTTGGGACCTTGACGCACTTGCGTTGATGGTGATTCCTATGCGTTTCGGTCATAAAACAACACTTGCAAAACTGACAAGCGAACGAATCTAAACAGATTCTGCCCTTCATGCAATACTTTTGGTGCATCGCTCTGTATTTTTGCGAGCACAGTCCCACTCCGCAAAATTCACATGGATAGAAATCTTTCTTTAACTCTTCACATTGCGGATTAAAATACGACTTGACGTCTACCCCGAGCTTCTCCGCGAAACTTTTACCGTAAAACACCAGCAATTCCTCGCCAGCATTGATTGTTCTGGCCGTGCGATAGTACAAGTTGCCCTTGTATTGGAAGGCGACCAAATTCTGCCGAGACATGTGATCAGCACAGTTGACGTAACGCGTCCAGTTGGAAATGCTTTCGTCACCAGCGTCGACCTATACGGATAATTCAGATTCTACTTCAGGTGTCGATAGAACCTAACCGAATTAAACCAACTAACCAAAATCGCTTGAATTTGGTCTAAAATAGCGCCAAGGTTTGTATTCAGATCAGTTGCTATACAGAGTGTTTGAATAACAGTAGGAGATAAAGGGTGAATTCAATTAATGTTCCATTTTGAAATTGAAGTTGTTTTTGTTACTTCCGGTAATGTGTATATATCGACAGTAAAGCACATTTCTTATGCTTGTTCTAGTAAAAAGTCAACTTGTCGCTTAATTGCTTTCTTATATCTGCCCTAATTCCTGTCTACTAAAACATATCACCCAAATATCGTTCGCAGCTATTTAAGTGCAAGTCTATTTTTCAGTTTGTTAAATGTCAATTATATAGGCATCACAGTTTCTCTAAGATCCTATTAGGGCCTCACATTTGCCACATTTGCTGCAATTTTCCAGAAAAACTACGGCAATGTAGCAACTCTCCATGAAAAAATCATAGCCACCTGCGGCGCATCGATTTTTATCGTGGTACCGCCACTATATAACCTTAAAGCTACACGGTCACACTTCACCACTACTACTACTACTTTTACTTACTTACACATATTGGTAAATATAATTCAAAATGCCTTCGTAATGAAAGGGTCTGGACCATTCCGTCATCCTATGGGTGTGTTAACATACAGGGTGTCCACAAAGTGTGTCAAAGTAATAAATCTCGTTTATTATGTGTGTTAATTTTGTGGAAAACCAAACTTACATTTCCTTAAATGGAACACCCTGTATATTGTTCCCATTTGTACTTAATCAGGTACCAAAGTTTTCGGATTTATGGCAATTTTTTCATCCACATATCCTATATTTTGACACCGTTTCCGGCAACAGTAATTTTATTATGCCAAAAATTTTATAAACGTTTATACAGGGCGAGTCAAAATGAAAGTCATTAATTTTCGTAAAAAATTATACTTCCATTTTTTTCCCCGTTACCTACATTTTCCGCAACCGCAAAAGAAGTTGTATGTAATTTAATTTAATTAACTTACTTCAATAAATAAAAAATTAAAATTCGTTATATATTTCGGCAGTAATGACCAAAATCTGACTTAATCAACGTCACTTGAATGATAAAAATTGACGACAATAATTGACATAAAAAAGACGTCTCTTAAATAACGTCATTCGTCTGAGACATCAGTAGACCAAATTCACATCCTGCTGACGTCATATATAACGCCATTTTCATCATTTCGTGACTAGTTAACGACGTCATTTTGACGACCCTGTGCTACCTGGGGTATTCTATGCTACACATCAATTTAGTATTGCTAGTAGTTCCCTAAAAATTATTTCAAAACTAATAACAAAATTGGTTTCGCTCTATTTATTGCTCGAATTGTCTTCCACCGACTTCGATGCTTGCTCTAATACATATAACTTTTATTTCTAAGTAATTTCCGCAACACCCTGTATATATCTTGCAAATAGCTTACTATTTTTTCAACAACTTCTGTATTTGGCGTTTTTCCCCAAACGTTAAATAAACAAGTTTTATTTACATTATAAATTATCACATCTTCTTATACTGGACAGCCTGTATATAAATAAATATGATCCGAAATTCAAGGAGAAAGCACCTTTATATCTTATATCGGGTAAACCCAGCTTTTGTGGAAATTTCCGCTACATCTCCTTTTCCCATAACAGATCGACGAAATTAAAGTACACCCTGTATAGTCATGTTCCTATTGATAAATCCCCAACGATCACTCACCAGCCTCCCGTTCCTCAACTTCCAGCTGTAGCCCATCGTGTTCTCGACCTTGGTCAGTTTTCCTTCGTAGGGACCCAGCTGCACCCCCTTGGGCACCGTCTTCGTGGCGAACACTCCCAATCCGTGTACCGGAGACGGCTTGATTTCCAAAGCTTCGGGCACCGTTTTTCGAGCCCTATCCGGCACGCCCATCGGCACCTTCACGTCTTCGATGGTCACGAGCATGCCGCACTTGTCGCAAAAATCCACCACCTCTACTTGGCACTCGTCGCAGACTTTCGTCGAAAAGAAAAATGTCGGCCGAAAAAAAAAGCCGCAGAGATTACTCACATATGTAACGGTCGTCGTCCGCTATCTCGTCTTCGAAATAGTTCACCTTCGGCGCGGAAGATCTCTTGGGGTAGCTTTTCTTTAACGTGTCGTCGCATTTTCGCGACTTAAAACTAACCTCGCCCTCACTTTTAGCACTTTTCGTGACCTTGGTTACCTTTCGTTTAACCTTCTCGCTCAAAGGCACCGCTGCCTTTGACACGTTTTTTAAAAAATCGGGTTTCGGCAACAACGCGGCTAAAACACGAACCCCGCCCCGAGTGAGTCTCTTTAAATAATTGTATTTCACAACCCCTCAAGCTTGGATGTAGACCAAATTGTCCGCGTCCTATCACGAAAGTCTCAAAACTCGGTTCAAACATTTTCCAGACCCTCTTGATTACGTGGCCAAAAACTTACCGAACTCGGGATTGCCGACATAGTTGACGTACATCCGTATGTGTCTCAGCTTGGCCAACTCGCTCAAACTTTGCCATTCCGCGTCGTCGAAATACCGCCTGACGATGCGCTCGACTTCGTCGTCGGGCAGTTCGAGCAACTCGCTCGCAATCACTTCCTCCATCACGCATTTATTCGCGAAATTTCACGTAAATAACGACTCCGTTAATCTTCCACGAAAACTAATGTCACCGCGTTCACAGCCCACTTCGAAATTCGAAGCGTTCGCGGCGTCGTCCAATAAACTTATTTAAATCGAAAAGCGCAAGCGGAAGTGTTCCGCATTAGTCAAATCAGCTGACGAGAGCGCGCGATCCCATTGGCCGGTTCGAAATTTCGCGGTAGGTTTGGGGAGGAAATCGCTCGACGCATTTTTAAGAATCTTGTATCGCGTAGGCTCGGTCGATAAAAACGTCGGAATTCGAAAAGTCGTCTATTTTATTTAAGCGCATTATAAATAAATAACCTTAAAAGCTACATCACATGAAAATTATCACTGGAAATGTTTAAATATCCGGCACGCGTCAGTCGTACTTCGTCGACGTGGAAAAGTCGACCACCCTGACGCTCCTGAGGAACCAGAACATGGCCGATACCAGGAAAAAGCATTCCGCGAATAACAGCGTCGCAGGGTCGACGGCGGCGAAGTCCATCTTCTGCACGGCCACGACCAAGACCATGCACCGCAACACTTCAAACACGCAGGCGTACGGGTGGTCGTCGAACAGCATCCCGATGCTGGTCAGCGAGCCTATGATGTAGACGACGAATGCGAGCACCGTCAAAGGACTGAGCACCAAATGACGGGTCGCGAGCTCGTGAAAGCCGTAGACTATCAACGCGAAATGGACGAGCAGGTAGACGTTGCACCACCCGGGCAGCTTGACGTCGTACTTGTCCCTTTTGAGCACTTTCACCTTGTCTTGTTCGAGCCCTAAGCGAGGTTTGCCCGGCTCCCAGCTGGGACCGTAGAAAACGGCCGCCAGCTTGTGTTTCCACGTGGCCATCGCCCTGAAGCGCTGGTACACGTAGCCCGAGTAAAAAGTCTGAAAATGATGACGAAAAATCTAGAATTTGCCCGGCCTGCTGCGACATTTTAAATCCGGATTGTGACATCGCGCTGTTTGTATTGTACTTTTTGACATTGTCTTTATAAATAATCTTATCAATGAAAATGCTATTTATTGCTCAGCACGACCTCTTCAATAAAGAGGAGGAACCATCGACTGTGTTAGTCACGAAAAGCGAGGTTATGTTTTCTGTTTTGATTGAGTTGTTTCTTATTGTATAGAAAAACATCCAGGTATTTCATACTGAAAATGTGACAAATTAAAAGAAAAACTATTCGCGAAGACGTGTTAACAGGTTAGGAATTAGTGTAACATCAAAATATTTGTGTATAATTGTTTTTATTGTTTGTTTACAAGGTGATATTTTCATAACGCTTTGTGTGTGCGAGATGGCACCTAAATGTTTTAACTAGCCTTGTGTTTCGTGCGTTGCTACCTTTTTTTGGTTAAAGTGTGGTAATCACTCGCTGGATTTGGGCTTGCAATTGGATTTATAAGAATGGACCAAAAGTGGCAATTTTCTCATCCACACAATGGGAGGTCTTGCGGCAATAAAAAGAAAAGAATTGTTTGTTCTAACTGACACAAAGGTGAGTCTTTTCGATAATTGTTTTAGAATCTAAGTTCTGCAAGCGAAAAATTTCCAATCTTATTCATTTTAAGATGCGAGCATCACTCTCCAAATCCACATCCAAATGTAGTCCCAGGAAAAGGCAAAAATTAGAATCGAGGATATCAAACAGGCGATAATTGAAAACCTTTAGACTGATTTTGCTTTTTGAGGAAACCTTTGAAAAAATTATAGTTTAAAAATACACAATTTCTGGCACATAACAAAAGGTCACAGACACATATGTTCATTTTATATTGCAGTATGAAGTAAATTTAAAACGTCGCATTTTTATGTGACAGGATTTTAATTTGGCAATCCACTTTGCCAAAATTACATGTTCCGTTAAAAAAGCCACAAAATTTCAAAAACTGAAGTATTAGTTTATGAAAAGTTATGAGCAAAACTTAGTTAAGATAGTCTTTGGAAACATCCATGTTCTGCAGCCTATTATTTTCAACATCTCTCCATGAGTGCAAGTTTTATGTATATTTTTATGCTCTTTCAGTTATATTTGATATATAAAAAGAAAACTCTCAGTTTCGCCACCGACTTGTAAAAGGATGTATTATGAACCTTATTTAATCGAGACATGTTTCGAAATTAAGGAATTCCATATTCAGTCACTAAAATTGGTGTGCAAACAGGAAAATACAAAATGGTTTAATATTAAATTAAAACTCATCACTGCATCAGAACTAACGGTTTATAAGTTGGAAGGAAATTACATAGAACTCATAAGGTTGTAAAGTTTCAAACAAACTTAATGATATAAAAATGTATAACTTAATTCCAGTAGAAGGTAAATAATTTTCATTCTATTATTTTAAACATAAGGCAAAAAACTTCACAGTTCTTTATTATGAGGATCTACTCTCATAGCTCTGGTTTATGTTCCTTGTTTTGAGCTTTTTCATATCAAATAATATTCCCTTCTTTGATTTTGTTATGTGCACTCATAATATTTTAATTATTAACAGTGGAGAAGAAAATGAGAAAACAATATTTTGAAGAAAATTTTAAAAACATATATTTAGATTTTAATTTATCATTGACACTGACAATTCTCTTTCCAATTTTTTGAAAAGAGGTTTCATCTGTAATTTTCGTATATATGTTTTCATTTCACTGTTTAAAAAAATAATTGATATTTGGACACTTTACTTTCGCTTTAAATGTAATTTTTTTATAGGCAGAAAGGAAACAAATTTAGAAACTGAATTTTGAAAAAAAAATGTATTTTAGTCTTTCACACTTTTTGTACAAATAGTATAATAGTATTTTTTACATATCACTTTTACTTAATATTTTTTTAATTATGGCCGAATACAAATATTTTCCACATAAACTGAAAATTCATTTTCAGAATCGGAAAAGTCGTTTAGAAATCTGTGAAATATTTATAAAAACTGTGAAAATTTTAATCCGCAGATATCTTCTTCAAATCTGCGAAATCATATTTTTGGATAGCGATTTGTCCTTCGAATTTTGCATTGCAGTTTTTTTTTCTACAGTTACAGTTTTTTAATATTATTTCCACTTAGATTTTTCCTGTGCAATATTTCGTATCCCATATACTTTTATTTGCACCCTTAGGAGTCACCTTTCGAGATTTTTTATAATCGTTAAAGCTATGAATGAGTGAATTGTTCTTGTTAATTGTTGTATTTATATCAATGATATCAATATAACTGTAAAACACCATATGAATGTTGGAATGGTACTAAACTAGATTTGAATCATTTCAAACTATTTGGTTCTACAGTGATGATGCAAGTTTGTCAAATCAAAAGAAACAAGTTCGACATGGAGTCAGAAAAAATGATATGACGGTGAGACAATGAAAGGATACAGACTGTTAAACTGACGGAACAATTCTGTCATTACCATGTAGTGATAATACAGCAAGAGAAAGAGGTTTTAGTAAAATTGGATTATAAAAAAAATTGGAATGAATGCGAGGAAAATGAGGACGAAACATTGACAGAGATAGCAAGTACCACCACATTCAATGGGGGAACATTTTAATGATTCCGAAGCATTGTATAATCTGAATGATAGTAATTTTGTACCCGAAAATGATGGACACATACGAGGGCTGCCTTTTAATGGTAGAATGTTTTTTCGGGAACACTGACCACGTCGCAACTGTTTGTTTGGTGAAAGGTAAAACAGTCAATTTCGAATGGTACACAATCGTTTGTTTGTCGAAAGTCTTCGAAATAATTAGAAAAACCAACCGCGGAAGACTGATCAATCTCGACGACGACATTGCTAGCTCTCACCGATCAGTACAAACAATGAACTTTTCGATGAGCCATCCATAGTCCTGATTTAGAATCTAATGACTTGTTTTTATTCCCATACAATAAGAATAAATTTCGTGGCCAACGATTTTTGACACCAGTCGGTTGCTTATAGTTTTTTATTACAAATCCCGAAATATAAAATATAGACCGACAAGACGTATAAAGGCTAAAAATTATGAAGATTGCGTAACATACAGGTGTGCTGGACGTTGTATTTACATCAATAATTGTACTTTTGTTGTGTCGCCATCTATACTCGTACTCTAGTAACCATGATGGTTAATAATAAAAATCAGTCTTCGCTTGAAACATAATAACCCACCTGGAGGTGAAGCGGGTTGAAGGAGGGCTGATTGTAAACCAATCCGTAGATGATCTCCTCGTCCTGACGCTCGTCGGCGAAGGTGCCGAACAACCGGTCCCACACTATCAACACTCCCCCGTAGTTCTTGTCCAAACAGTAAATGTTACTGCCGTGATGGACCCTGTGGTGTCGCGGAGTGTTAAACACGTACTCCAGAGGTCCCAAGGTGTTCACGGTCTCCGTGTGGATCCAAAATTGGAATAGCAGATTGAACTGCTGGTGAGTGACGAAGTGAGACGGCGGCACGACCAGAGCGAGAGGGAGATAGAAGACAAACGCGCACCATCCCTGAAGCAGCGACTGTCTCAAACCAACCGCCACATTGTAGTCCTCAGAGCTGTGGTGTACTTGGTGCTGAGCCCAGAGGACGTGGACCTCGTGGCAGGCCCGGTGGACCCAGTAGTAGCAAAAATCGACGCCGAGCGCCGCGACGTACCACGTGACCGGTTGGTTCCACGGCAAGTCGCAAACCCGGAAGTGCTCGTAGATGTAGAAGTAGGCGTAGCTCTCCGAACCGCGAAACAGTAGCCTGAAACGAAGGGGTTCGATGGAATACAAATTATTTTGCAGTTTCAGAAAAATGGCAGCCTCGAGGTGTCATTTCAAATCACTATTTACAAATCTTCCAGATCCCGCTCAACGTCTTCAGAGCTTAACTGAAACAAATGACTGATTCATATATTGGTAAAAGGTAAAGATCGGAGTCGCGGTTAAGATATTTTCGGTGCTTCTAGATTTCAATGGATTCTCGGATTTTTCTTTGGTAGGAGGTTTGTCCGGTTTTATGATTGTGTTCGGCAACTGCTGATAAGTTTATTTGTCGTAGCCTTAAGGCTCTTTCATGTTCTTCGAGCCTGGTTGGTATTTTTCGTCCGGTCTCTCCAATACAATGCTGTAAGCTTCTGGCATCTCAAATGGAGTTTTGTCTTTGACAGATCGAAGATGTTGAGAGATTTTTGGACAAGTGGTAAAACTGGTTTTGACGTTATGCTTCTTTAGAACTTTCGATATGTGTTCAGTGATGTTTTGAATGTATGAAAGGACAACGGTGGCAAGTGTGGTATTGCTTTCGGACTCATTGCGGTAACCCGGGTTGAGATAGTTTCTCGACTCTGTAGTGATGCAACAATGCATTAAGGCGTAGGTTTTCTGTACACAGAATGACCCAATGTTAGAGTGTATAGAATTTAAGGCTATTTCGAAGGGATTCAAGAGATAACAAAAGTTTCATCAACGTAACGTTTCCACAATTTTGGATTTACAAAATAAATAAGAACTAGAAGTTCAGATTTTCACGAAATTATATATTTTCACATGACAGTTTTTTCGACAAGACCGTCTTTTTATCAAATGTAATATTTACAAACTACCTGCTACTATATATGCCGTAAAATGACACTAAAACCTTAATTAATGTTGTTGTGAGAATTTAAATATAAAATAAAAAACAAATCCAATTACATACATAGGAGAACTTGGTGAAAAAGTTTCAAAACATTTGTCAAAATGTGGTTTAAAAATAACTTTCAGAACTAACAACACAATAGGAAATTTTTTAAAAAACCAATAAAACGAAATGTCAAAAATCAGGTGTCCACAGGTTGAAATACGGATCTTGTCCTAAAATTTATACTGGACAAACAGGTAGATCCTTCAAGAAACACATTAACGAACTAAAAGAGCGTTTAAAAACAATAGTCTAGAGTCTAATTATGATACACACTTAAACACAGAAAAACACGTTTTTGGCGACAATTTTGATATTTTGCATACAGCCACAAAAAGTAGAAAATTAAATTTATTGGAAGCCATGGAGATTAACAAAATGAGACATTCAAATATAACTTAACGATCCATTAGATTTAAATACCTCTCCATTATTAAACTTAAATTCTCACTACAACATTAGTTAAGGTTTTATGGTCATTTTTCGGTATATATAGTAGCAGGTAGTTTGTAAATATTACATTTCATAAAGACACGGTATTGTCGAAACAATTGTCATGTAAAAATATATAATTTCGTGAAATCTGAGTTCTTATTTATTTTGATAAATGGATTTTCATCAAGCAAAAGCCACCTCAGTTCAATTTTCGTAAATTATGAATAGACGCCTTCTTTAACAACACTGTAACTCGAATGATAAATCTGGGGATCTAGGTGGCCAATGATAAAGCCCACCACTCTTCCTACTCAGCAATTTTTATACGCACCATCATGCATTTATTAACATATCTCTTCTAGACAACGGGACTTAAATATTCTTGTAAAAAAGGTAGAAAACTGACATTGGTATCTACATTATTTTCAGTTCATACATGAAAGTTTATAATATTATATATATAATATTTTGTTAAATAAAGATTTGTTTGAAAAAGAACTCTAAGCAGTAGGGGTAGACTCACCTTCCACATTCCTGAATGAGACCGTGCGACAAGCTCGTCACTGTGTCGTTGAGCCTAGCTGTGGGTTTTCTCTCGACCCATAGTATAACATTCTCGACGATCATAAACAGAAGAAAGTACGGCCAAGCCTGGAAGTGTTACACAATGAATAAATGAATAAAATTAGTTATTGTACTATGAAAAATGTTTTGTTTGTTTTAATTTGTCGGTGCGAGCCCTCCTACCGGGAAAGGTAAGAAATTAATAAAATTCACCTCACGTACACGAGAACAGATGCAGTTTTCGTTTTAATTAAACAAAGTCGTTTATCAAAATGAGACTTCACGATATATAAAGTTTGAGCAAATATTGTGTCCGGGTACCGGCATTTATCTCGATTGTCGTGTTCAAGATGTTTCGGGAAAATAAAGCAAAATCAAGGTTTTAATTTTTCAAAAATGTTTCCCAGATTTTCCAGGCGAAGAAGAACTAAAAAAGGGTTTGTCAAAAAGTGTACTCCTTCCTAATTTTATACAAATAGTACCAAATAATACTGAATCAACGACAGAAAAATTATTTTAAAAAAATGCTTTCAACAAAATGAGAGGAAGAAGGAAAAATAATGGAGGGTTTATATAAAGGTTATTCGCTTGTTTGCCATAGAAGATAGAACGGCTCACTTTGGGTGAAATGATAAGTAAGATAAATAAGATAATAAGTAAAAATTGTAAATTATTACTTAAACCCAAAACAATAGGCGACTGCATAAACAACATCACTAAATTTAAAACACACTGTTTTCAAAGGACTTAATTTTAAAAAAATATTTCCAATTTTTTGTATTTTTTTAGCCCAGGTTATTTTTTCCAAGCAATTGTTTTCAAAAAAACGCATTGTTTTGAAAGGCCTTAATTTTTAAAAAATATTTCTAAAATTTTCAAAAAAATATTGTTAAAAGCACAAAAAAACGTTCACATATTGTTACAAAATTGTTTTTCCAAAAAATGCAGTGTTTCGAAACGCCTTAGATAAAAAATATATATATTTCTAGAATTTACAAGTGTTTACGATCACAGCTCCAATTTTATAAATGCAACAGAAAAATTATATCCAAAAAAGTATTTTTTTCGTGGGACCGTAACTACGTCTTTTGTTAAAATATTTTTTCAGATCCAAAAAAATATTTTACAAAACTATTTTCAACAAAATGCACTATTTATCATTTTAACAGAAGGAATATTTTTTAGTTTCAGGATGTTATCTTATTTCAATAAAAGTCTATAAGTAAAAACAACAATCTTCTAATATTTTGTTCGATGATTGGAGATTTTAAGAATAATTTTTATTTTAAGAGAAATCATAGGCGTACCACCAATGTCTGCCAAAATATATATTTTATTTTTGAAAACTTGAATATATATGAAGTTTTATTTTTAAAATGGACACAAAAATCGCGATTCAAGTATTCAAGTACATTCAATTTAGAAATTAAGAAGAAATGTCAAAATTCAACCAATAAAATTTTTGTTTTATATTTTCGATTGCAGAATCGGAAAGGGTTTACGAAAAATGTTCTTTGGTAATTTAAACTTCATCGTGGGATCCATATTAACAAAGTTATCCACTTAGTAATTTATAATGGCCACCCTGAACATGATTAAGTTTTTTACTGTCGTCCGCGATTGCGTGTTTCTCATCATTAGTAGATTTTTGTAATAAAAATTATTTAAAATAAAAATTATTATTAATAAATTATTAAATATATATTAAAAATTTTCTTGTGCCACCATGTATGCTGTTTGACTTGTAAACATCTTTGACAATATTATTATGTTAGTTGTGCAATTATATAAAAATCATCGCTGGCCCCGAGAGGACGAAAAACGTAATAAAAATACTTCACGAAAAACTCGTTAAAAGTTACGTACGTTCCGGAAAAAGTTGGGCGCGTCGCCGACATTTTCAAACGTCGAGTCGCCGGGACGGACGACGTAAAACATCGTCCCCGCCCCCTTGAAAAAATCCACGAGGAACTCGATCCCGAAATAACCCCCGTCATTTGACAAGCTTCGAGACACGGATGCGATGACGTCACATCGAGAAGAATTTTCGCACGAACTCATGTTTGCTTATTGCATCGCGTTGGCAACGATTGAAAAAAATAGAAACTTTAGTCTAGTTGGCTGAAAACGTTTGGTTGCATCCCGGCTTCAAGCTTTTGTTTTATAGTTCGAAGTTGTAAACAAAGTCCGATAGTGGGGACAGGTAAATATTAATAAGATATATCGACGAGATAACATTAGCTCTCAACATAGCCTCGAGCCCGATTAATCCTACAATTAAGTCCGTTTAAAGTGGGCATTTACTACCTACAACTTGGTAGGGTCTCAATTGTGGGTCAATCAATGTTCACAGCAACTGGGATGGGACTCTGTAACTCGTTTTATGTGAAGATGGAGAGATTTTTTCGGTAATGGGCATTTTTAAATTTTGTAAGCGCTTTCGGCTACGTAGGTACGTAGATCGCTAAGAGGTTCTCTAAAAATCGCACGTATATTTAGTTTGTTTTGAGCGTCGATGATTTTACTCGTTTATTCGAATCATGTCAAAACACAATGATTTATTTTCACAATTACTGAAGAGGTTGGAGTCAAAATATTTTAAATTTAAAAGTGTCTGCATATACTATTCTGTAATGGTTTTGTGTTATGTAAAACGTTAAATTAGTCCCTGTTCCTGCAATATTGTAGTTTTGTTTTCTGTGTTAATATTTGTTTTTTATAAATAGTTTCCTTGTGATGTTTTTTTTTGCTAATAAATAAATGCTACTGTAGTATCATAATATTTGTCTGTGGCATACGATTTGCTTTGCAGTATTTGATAATTTTTAACAACACGCGTTTTAGACCAGATTCTGGGTAATTAATCCGCTCACTGCGCACCCAATTGATAATTTCTTCTTGTAGTCATCCATTTACCTACACGAATGTCACACTTTTGGAAAGTAAGTATGGGTTGCTTTTAGATTCCAAGTATGGATTTCTCATTGAACACAAATTTCTTCAGAAATCGGAAAATATTTCTGAAAGAAATATTAAAATGACGTGGCAAGATTTCTTTGGTTAGTTAGTTAGGATGTTAAGGGTTAACCAAAGCATTGAACTGAGGTGACTTTTACTTGATGAAAATCCATTTATCAAAATAAATAAGAACTAAAAGATCGGATTTTCACGAAATTATATATTATGACATGACAATTGTTTCGACAACACCGTGTCTTTATCAAAAAATTTGAAATATAGTTTTCATTTTTTTACTGCTCTTGGTGGGAAAGTTGTTTGTACTAAAACTTTCTTTGTAAGGGACACTCGAAGAGTAAATGAGTCTCCCCGTATTCGCAATTCATTGATTCTATGACTAAATTAATTGTAAAAAGCGATACGATTCTAATAAAACAACTTTCAAAATGTATGTACAAAAAAATCGCTCCCATAGATAATTGACGTCATAGAACAATAAACAGACGCCAAGTGGCAAGGTGTGATTTGCCGAACCGCGCAAACGATACAGCAATAAACAAAAAAATCGTTTTTCCTCAAAAATAAAATAGCAATTTTGATGATACCCTTTTTTCTTCTGCGAAACAGTGAATAAAGTAGGTGACGTCGCAATAACTGACCGAAAGTTAAGTCAAGCAAGCAAGGTTTCAAATTGGCAAAAAAAAACAAAATTAACCGAAACTTTAGTTACTTCTCCGTATTATTGTATCACTATTTTATTATTCACATTATCATTTAAAACCTTTCATTTGTTGTTTAACTTTTATCTGGCCGAATGATCCTAGAGTTTTGCCCTAACGAAGTTAAGAAGAAGAACACCATTTACGCAGGCTATCTAGGAAGAGGCATAAATTCTATGGTGTAAACCACCCAGCTACGTACCAAAAAAAAACCAACTACCGCTCTAACACTTAATTGTTTTATTATTTATACGTAAAACAAATATAATAATAATATACAAAGAGCTTTTTTACCTACGCACTACAGCAAAAAATTTACAAGTTGCACCCAAACAAATCGATAAAATAAAAAAAAACAATAACAACAGACGTGATTTATCCTCGCTGGGAAACTTAATTATCTGCGGTTTATCTAAAGCCTGACTTTTCGCCTGAACGTGACCCTGAGCCGAAGCTTTCCTGTTCGAAACTTTTTCCGACGTATTAGTCGGAAGTCGAAGCTAAGGTCTCCGACTTTTACGTGCCTATGCAAATTGGCGTTTTGTTTTGACACTTTCCGGTACTAACAGGTGTTTACATTATTATCGTGAATTTTTTATTACGCAGAAAAGTAATCACAGTGCATACTGATCACGCTTTTGTTTACATCGTTGTTCCGCATAAACATAACCTTAAATTAATACGCCGGTTGAAAACTGAAAACCAAATCACCAATCAAATGTTTTAATTTTATAATAAAAGCTACATTTTATTGTTACTGTTGGGGTGATTGATTATAGAAAAAAAAAACAGAGGACATATAAATATACAAGTTTATGATGTTCTATTGAGTTAGAATCCAAACCACTTAGTTTTTGTGACATAGAATAGTTCTGATGTCTGCGATAAATGCCAATAATCATCCACGATCTTTTTTCTTTCATTATCAAGAACTAAGTCCTGAATCATTGAGTACAGGTTGACAAGCTGCTGATGAAGATCCAATTAAAACCTAAACAGCTTTTTATACTCTCAAAGTATAGCATATAGATACTTCTTTTCTCCGGTTGAGATGGAAATTCCAACTTAACACAGAGGCTTCTTTGTTTTTTTTTTATACGGGATCATTTTCATAATCCACTAACACTAGATAACAACTTGCATGCAAATCAAAACATTCACGTTTTCTTTGAACCTTTGCTAATTCTCTATTGTAACCACGCAAATTCGTTTACGCCTGTTTTTTTTTCTGTCAAGTAGAAGTGGTACCGTGCGAACTTAAATTACGGATATTTCGCATATCTTTAAAATATACTTTGATATAACAAGACAACATAAGAAAAAATGGACATAGCATAGTTATGCTCCTAAGGGTGGGTGGCACTGATGTAACACAGAGTGACGAAACCCCAACCGACCCTTGCACGGACCATGACTTGCATTAATTCCTATTAAAGCAATATATACAATGAAATTCGATACAAAAAACCGACACAACTATGCGCTTGTGTCAATGACGGTAAACACAAAAAAAGCAATAATATTTACAATTACATCAGGAATACCTGAAATGCTAATCCGCGTTTTTTTCGTTCTAATTTTAACTGCGTTTTCATCAGATGCAATCCGGCGGTCGATTTCTTCAGACGCCGCGCGATTGTGCCTTTTCATGCAGGTACATTTTCACAGACACGCAAAAACGCCGCGTTAATAATATGCAAGCTAATATCGTTATAGAATTACAATTATCATTGTCGCGTTTTTATACGCGCCAGAGCATGACCAAGCGTTATTTCTTCGCTGCCGAAACCATAACCGCGCAATGATACGGCAATGCATTTACTATTAATAGTAATCGATTTCGAACGGATATTATCGAATCGTTTAAAATTGCTAATAATATCACTTATAAACCGACTGCATTTACGTGACGGTACCACAGATAGTTGCCGATACCATTTTGTGGTTCGTGCTATTTTAATCGTTCGAAAAAGATGGGGATGTATAACCTAACCTTCAAGTCAACCGAACTCCTACAATACTCAATTTATGCATATAAAATTTAGTATAATAAAGGCAGTATTTCAGAGAATTTCGTTGTTCGCGTCCAAAATGCCTGAGGCGACCAGCTCCCTCGACCGTATCAGAAGCAACGCCAATTTAATGAAGCAAACTATTAACGATATTAAGAGTAAGGTGAGCTTTGGCCACGTTTAGCAACGATGAAAATTTCACGACGTGTTTTCCCCTAGTTGAACGAGTTAACTACCGAATACAACCGTTTATTATGCAATCAATTGCGCGAAGAAAACAGTAAGCTATCTGCGGCAGTCGAAACAGCCAAGGAGAAGCTTGTTAGGTTGGAGATTCAAAACGGGGTGAAGCAGGTGGCGGTACCGGGCGCCCGTCCCGCCGTTACTAGCGAAGCGACCGAAAAGCAAATCGAAGTGTCCGTCGAAGAAAAACAAACCAAAACCAAAGTCGCCAAACCCAAGAAGGAACCCAGTAAAACCGATAAAACGAACGGCGCGGATCTGCCCGTCGACGTCGGCAGGTTAGATTTAAGAGTGGGCAAAGTCGAGAACGTCGAACGTCATCCGGATGCTGATTCCTTGTACGTTTTGAAGATAAACTGCGGGGAAAACGAGCCCAGGACTGTTTGTTCGGGATTGGTCAAGCATGTGCCCTTGGACGAGTTGCGAGATAAAACTGTAATGGTCTTATGTAATCTGAAACCCGTTAAGGTAGGTTGATTTTTTGAATCAAGCGCGAAGTATTTTTCGTTCGTATTCGTTCGTGGTAAATGGCCAAACTTTGTATAAAAATGTTTTTACTATGCATACAATAAGTTGTGGGTATACAAGGAAAAGAGATAAATGAGGTTAAGACTGAGTGCTGATTAAAACCTAATGTAGTAACTATATTATGTATTTTCTACAACTAATGTACTCTTTAATTTTTGGTAGTTATGTTTTGTAATGCCTACAGTTTCTTAAACAGATTGCCCATTGGTACTTTTTACAATTGTATATTTGAAAGTCAAAACGTTCATCTGCAATTAGATTTGTGATGAAACAATGAGCGTTCTGCCTATTTGAGGTTATGTAGTTGCTGCTTGAACATTTTTTCCATTTACATTTTTCCCCTGCGACATCTAGTAGATTTCAACTTTATTTTCGCTTTCCATAAATGTTAAACCTGTAAGCTTATTAAAATAAACGCTTTGTGTCGATTCACACGCACAAATTCGGAATAATTTTTTTTGCAATTTGGTGGTAGACAGAAAGATGTAGAAATGGCATCCTGTCAACCTAGCCTTAATATAGATTCTTTTTTACTTCTGTTGCCTGCTTTAGTGCTAGATAGACATTTTAAAGATATCTGTCTCTTCTTCTTTATTTTTAATTACGTCGGGCCGAATTGTTGAGGACACTTGTCCATTACCCATAGACTTCGATTAGTCTCTGCTAGTGTCAAGGCAGGTTTCGAATGGCGTAATATGTTGCGTAAAGAAGGGTTGTCCGTACTTTTAAGTTGTGATTGTTTTTCTTCTCAACTTCTATTGGTTAAGCCTGCTAGGTTAATTCGGAAGTTGTCATTACGTTCGAGCTTTCAATCTCTTCTTCTTTTGTTATTCACGTGTGGCCAAAGTGTCGAGGACGCTCGGCCAAGTAATTTTCGCTCGTTTTTACGTGGCAGATGCGGGGAATTACGTCCGAAGCTATGGTTATGTGCGCGAGTGGCGAGAACGGCGTGGAAGTGCTCGCACCGCCGCCTGGGTGTCGACCCGGCGATTTGGTGACCTGCGAGGGCTTCGAACGGCGACCTGACCCGGTAATGAACCCGAAAAAGAAGATATTCGAGACCGTCGCCCCCGATTTGCACACCAACGATAACCTAGAGGCCTGCTACAAGGGCGTGCCGCTCGCTGTAGAAGGGAAAGGGACTTTCGCGTCGAAGACGCTGAGGAACGTCGCAGTGAAATGATTTTCGTGTTAAATAAAACAACCTTGGGTTTCGAAACTCGTTTTATTTTCCTATCCGACTTGAAACTTAATACGTTATCGGTCGTAATGCTGCTAAATACACACACCTATGCACGTCACGGCTAGAACGCTACGCCCGCCCATCGCAACTACACACGATTAAACTGTTTAAATATGCTACGTAATGCCGTTACCGGAGATCGCTTTCTTACGTCATCCTGTCGTTTCCTTCGCGCTACGTCACGCGTTTTCCTCCTCTTCACTGAAGGAAGCTTCGACCGATTCGTAGACCAGACTAAATCCTTTGCCGGTCAGCGTGTCGTCGGATCGAAATCTGACGAGCAGCGCTTCGTGCGTTGAGGTTATGTCAAAAGGTTTCTGCGAAATGGTAATAGTGATAATACGCTTATTCTGCAGAATACACTAACGGATCGCATTTTGTATATCCACAAAATAAACAAATGAAAATTCTCCCTAAAACCGTCAAGTTTCAGAAAAGTACCCTGCTGACGAAACTGGTATTATTTACAAAATGACAAATGGTATTTTGATTTTGATTTATTAGGTCGCCACTGCACTGGTTAAATCGTAAGAAATAAAATATCTATCTAAAACAAAATATCTAGTTTTTAGTTACCAGTTAGTGTCCTTCAGAAAAAAAAATTGGAAAACTGACATTCTAACAACAAGATAAATAATAAACGATTCTTATTTAAATTTATTTAAGTTTACGTACGCCGTATTCGCAATTCGGTTTAATTGAACAATTTTAGTAAAACAGATAGACAATTACTTAAGTATGATTGGATATTGGAGAATTTTTAATTTAAGAAAAATCAGTGGCGTACCATCAATGTCTGCTAAAATAGCTAGGTGAAATTCCGTACGTCCGTCACTGGTGTATTTAAAAGAAAATGTGGTACGCAGAATAATGCCTCTTGATACGTAATACATATGCAAAAAAGTTTCCTTAAATTATCTAAAATTGTATTACAGATACTAAAAAAAATATTTAATTCTTGAAAATTTTACCACCCCGTACCTAAAAAGTAAGACGTTTAGGACATATGTTCATATGATTTTTTTTTAATGGACTCAAAAATCACCTTGTATATAAAAAAAATATATTATTAGTTATAATGTGACACAATTGTAAAGATACGCGATTTAAAATTTCTTCATCAATTTCTTTAAAAATTTACTTTATGTTGTCTATGTTTTATTTAAATATTAGTTAATACATCGATATTAAGTAAGAGCCATCTTTTTTTATGAGATGCAAGCGCTGATCAGGTTTAATATCCGGGGAGAAGTAATTAAACAATTTTTTTGAGCAGGGTTAAAGCATCGTTAATAATAAGTCCTTTCAAGCTGTTAGATTAGTTCAACTTTGACCAACTTCAAATATAGTTTTCACCCCACATATATATATATATATATATATATATATATATATATATATATATATATATATATATATATATATATATATATATATAAATTACTCTGTTAATACAGCCCATTTTTACGTCTATGGATTAAAAAGCGCCAAGTAGAACCACTTCCATAAGCTCGTTCCACCACGGCGATTGAATTACCTTTGCTCCGCAAAATTTCCCGTAAGACGGGCCGCTCGAGTCGAGCCCGCTGAATATCTCGACGTAATCGTAACCGCAGTCTTTCTCGTCCTCGACGTCGAACGTCAAAAACGACAATTGCACGTTGAATCCCACCTGCGCCTCGATCGTCCACTCGCAGTCGACCCTGCGGCAGATATCGACGCGTCAGCGCCATCTATCGGACGGTAGCGCACCCGCGCCTTACCTGCTGTCGTACAGCGAAGTGCCGAACTTCACGTGCGAGTAGATATGCTTTTTCTCGTGGTCCGCCTGCAGCATCCCGCCGCAGACCGTAGAATGCGTCGCCCAGAATCCGTTTCTCTGTACGCTCGCGTCCGATCTGAAAGCCATGTACAGTTGGTTGCCGGACGCCACGATCAGGTGCGGCAATTTCGAGCCGCAGAACCTGCCGAGGGAGGGCGCTTCGGGCGACGCGCCGTCGTAGAAATCCACGTGGTCGTAGGAACATTCCTGGTGCGGTTCGAGTTCGAAAAACTGAAATGCGATCCGGATCCGGTGGCCTGGGGTGGTCGTGAAGTGCCACACGCAGTCCTAGGCGACGATAATAAAGAATAGATGAACAGACAAATCAAAAAAGTATTTTTCTACTCCCGCCTGTAAAATACCTAATTATACACTAATTATACAATTATATAGCTTTGCCTATTTTTCTGCACGTTTTATGTTTTTTATGATTTTCTTTGTATTCTTTTTGTTTTTGTTTAACTTGTGTATTATTTTCGTTTTTCCCTCTCCATATCTTGATTTTGCGTATTTTCTCTCTAATTCGGTGTATTTATAGATTTCGAAATAGCAATTTAAAATAAGACAAAAAAAGGGGAAATCGACCAAAAATGATACATCAACGTAAAAACTCGTCTTTCAAAAACTTTACTTTTTTATCTGTATTTTTGTTTTTAATATTTTCTAGTTTATTTTGCAGTTTTTATATTTTTCTCTGTATTTCATATTTTTCAAATTTTCCAAAGTATTTTTTGTTTTTAATGTTTTCCTCTGTATTTTGTTATGTTGAAATAGCAATTAAAAAACTAGGAATAAGACAAAAATTGCAAGAAATTGGCGTAAATCAAACATCAACTGAGCAAAACTCGTCTCTCTCAAATATAAAAAACAAATTTTGATTTTTATATTTGCGTCTGCATTTTTTGTTTTTTACATTCTGCTCTGTATTTTTTGTTTTTAATGTTTGATTCTGTATTTTTTATTTTTTCTATTTGCGTTTATATGTTTTTAAAAGTTTCCACTATATTTTGTGTACCTTGTATTTTCCTCCTTATTTTGTAATTTTTATATTTTATTCTGTATTTTTGTCCTTAATATTTTTCTTTGTATTTCTTGTCTTTTATATTTTTCTCTGTATTTTCTGTCTTTAATATTTTCCTCTGTATTTTTTGTTTTTTATGTTTTCCTTTGTATTTCTTGTTTTTCATAATTTTCCCTGTATTTTTTGTTTTTTATATTTGCCTCGGTATTTTTTGTTTTTCATATTTTCCTCTGTATTTTTTGTTTTTGTTTTCCGCGTTATTTTGTGTTTTTTATATTTTCTTCTGTATTTTTTATTTTTTATGTTTTACTCTTTTTTTATATTTTCTTCTGTTCTGTTTTGTTTTCTTTTTCCCCCCTGCATATTTTTGTATTTTTCTGTCTATTTCGTGATTTTTATAGAATTTTCAAAGACAATGAATCGCCGAAAATCGTTCATCAACTTAAAAACTCGTCTTTCAAAAACCAGCCATTAATATCCATAAATCTATCCAATATTGTGTTTGTGGGTTTGATTTATTTCACAACTCGTTTAATGAAAAAAAGATACAAAGAAACAGTTTCCCTACCAACCCGGCCATTTTCGTGTCGGAAAAAAGAAAAAGTAATCACCTTCCTCGAGGGATAATAGTCGGGATAGTTGGGACTCCCGATCGTCCCGTAGGGCGTCGAAATCTCGTACTTGCAGCCGCCCTCCTTGCAGTCGCGTCCGTTCTCGTGTAGGGCGTAACCGTTGTGGCACGTGCACACGTACGAGCCGAGCGTATTATGGCACTCGTGCTGACAGTTGCCGTGGTTCACCGCGCACTCGTCCATGTCCGTGAAGAAAATGGCGGCGAAACCGGTTTTCTGCACGCTCGTGTCCGAATAGAATATGACGCGCATGACGTTGCCTTCGGAGGTGATCATCGCGGGCGGCTTTGAGCCGCAGTACGAGCCGTGCTTTTTGATTTTTCCCTCTTTCATTTTGCTGAACACGTCCACGCGATCGTACTCGCACTGCTGCTGCGCGTTGTTGTTCCTGCGACAATAGCCATCGCCAGCGAGTTATAAATAAGTTGATATTTTTAATTATATTAGAGAGATCATAAAACATGTTTTACTATCCATGATTGAACATCAGTAACATACGACCAATATGGGGTTAGGTACGGAGTTATTCATTATATATTGAGTACCACCGATAGGCTTATTTTTGAAAGATAGAAGAAAAAGTGTAAACGCAATAGTTTGAATATGTTTACTCTATGTCAAATGTCAGAAAGAACTAACGACGATCGCAAGCTGTCAAAATGACAGCAGCATCTTTTTTTATGGAATGCCCTGTATATTATTAGTTTCAATCGTAGATCTTTTTTTCATTCATTCATTTCATTCATCTATGTTTGCAATTGTTTCAACAACGGTGTACTTTTGACAACTAATCAAAACTAAAGATCTGCGGCGTAAATTAAATAACTTAAGATATTTCAAATGGGTTATACTGAGAAAGAAAAACGCCAGATAACAGAATTACATTATTCAAACGCCCATAATGTTGCACGGGTTAAAAGAGAAGATCGACAAATATGTCCGTGTAGAAGAGTTCCTTGAATAAATACAATTAAAAATGTAATTAAATAATTTGAGGATCCAAACGACGCATTCAGGTTTTTGGTCAATTTTCTTCTGATTGAGGTCAGAAAACAAAACCATATTTCAAGTACTCTACGATGTAGTGCCTTACAAATCTTTTTCTTTTTTTTGAAGATTGTGGACGTACTTGATTTTTGAGAATCCTTTATTTCTACGAAATTTAGTAATGTAACTTGCGTTTTCTTCTTACTCATTTTGGTAATCGATTTTTACCCAAGGCAAACAGCGGCAAGTAGTATAGCAGAGCCGGTTCGAAGCCAATTTCGTGAATATTCGGGTGTGTTCGGTTGGCGCCGGAAAATTCAAATTTTACCGCCAAAAGTGACTAAGATACGGCGGCAAAATTCATAATTTCGAGAGGTCCCCTGAATTTTGAGTTCTTTTATATTTTCCTCTGTGATCCTCGGTGGACCCGAAAAAGAAAAAGATGAGAGAAGGAGGGTTGAGAAAGGGGGAGAGGGTTGAGGTAGGGGTGAGGGTTCAGGCAGGGAGAGAGGGTTGGTGCTAAGAGGGGTTGTTATGGGAATGTACATGTAAAAATGAGAAAATTTATGCTTGAACTGTCATTGCTATTCTACGGCTAGTTTTTTATAATTCTCTCTGTATTTTGTGTTTTTTATATTTTCTTCTATATTAAAGAAACGTTAGCCCATAGAATAAACGTAGCGTTAAATAGTATCTGCAACAGACCCAATAGTGGTTTACAAATCGCTCACCCCTCCAAATCGAAATGGGTGAAGTTCAAGGTTATCTGGAACTGCGGCTGCGCGACGATCTCCCACACGCAGTTCTTGTTGAAAGGGTAGAAGTCCGGAAAAGATGGCGACGTTATCGTACCGTTGGCGAGGTTAAACACGCCCCCGCACGCATCTGCGCATAGACGTAAGTCAAATCGCGGCTTTGCAACCGGTCGCCTTACCCTCGCAGTTCTTCCCATCGGAATGCAACTCGTAGCCGAGCTTGCACGCGCACGCGTAGCTACCGAGCGTGTTGATGCACTGCTGCTCGCACCCGTGGTCGTTTTTCGAGCATTCGTCGTATTCTTTCATTATGCTGGCCGAAAAGCCTCCCTTTTGCACCGACGCATCCGACACGAACTTTACCAGCATCTTGTTGTACGTCGAGATCACGTCACTGGGCACCTTGTGGCCACAGAACACTGAAAACAGTACGAAACCGATTGTCTCACCACCATAACCAGGTATATTTGACGTAAACATCTGGATATCGAATCGAATACCCAAGAGAATTTCTTCTTCTTCTTCTTAGGTATCGGTCTCTCGAAAACAAATGACGTAATTTCTTAATTTCTTCAAATTTCTATTCAATACTTTCATAAAGTTCTCTTTTTTTAGTTTTGGTTTTGTTAGTAGGACTTTAACTTTTTGCAAATTAAATGTGTGTTTGGTGTTGTCACAAAGGGTATGAAGAGCTATTTTTTAAATACTGACTTGTTTGTCCTATATATACACTGTCACAATTAGATCATGTTATGTCTATTTTAAATACGTAATATATTAACCGAACGTCAAAAGTCATCAATTGTTATATATGTCCCTTATACAAAATAAGAATATTTTGAAAAAGATCGAAACGTTAATACATATTTAAGGAAATTACGTTATTTGTTTTCGAGAGACCGAATACCCAAGAGAAGTTGAAGTAAATATACACAAGACGGTCCAAGAGACTACATCTATTAAAAATCTTTGTATGAGTTACACCAGAAAAACAAAGTGGACATCATTCGTTTATCACCCGCGAGATGGCACTCGAGGCTGTTTCAACGGTAGAATGTCTCCTTCCTTGATTTCATTGGGCACCTCTGTTATGGACACTCGCAGACAAAATTGTTGACGATTGACATTAACAATTACGCTGTGCCCAGTCAGTTTGAAGTGTGTTTAATTTTCGATCCTTATTTTTCATTTTTGCTTTGTGGTTTGTAGGTTATCATAAGTTTTGTGCTTGGCCAATAATTTACCCACAGGAATGGAAATTTTTAAGATCTTTTAGATTTTTGGCCCATAAACGACACACCCTGCGTATAATTCAAACAATCTCCTGGTATATGAATTTTTCCAAAAGAGCAAATAGTTTTGGAAAAAATGCTTGTTTTCTGAAACGGCGAGAAATGGTGATTTTCATTTGGATTTCTTCAAATATCTCGAACAGTGTATGTGATAGACGAAAACCGTAAATACAAAAATTGTAACCCTTGATGCATTGTACAATAACATTCAAATCAATCGGCCATATTTTTGGAGAATTTTGATTTACGGCCAATAATTTACTCTGAAAGAGAACAATTTTGAGGGTCTTCTGGAAGCAAAAATGACAAAAACAAAAATTTCACCCAGTCCTAAAATAAGAAGAAGAAGAGAATTAAAAAACACCCTGTATATTCTCGTATAATTTGGGTGGTACAAAACCTTTGATGATGGGAGCGTCCACCGATATGCCATCACGTATCTCCACGTAGTCGTAGACGCAGTTGTCGTGGTTCTCGACGTCGAACGACTGGAACCTAAGCGCCACCTGGTAGTGCTCTGGCACTGTGATCCTCCAAATGCACTCCTTGTTCGGCTGGTACTCCTCGGGGTAGTTCGGCGATTCTAGATGACCCTCTTGGTCTACGTAGAAGTCTCCTCCGCAGACGGCTGCAAGTTCAATTCGCTACCTAACCGCCAGGTACCACACCCCACCAAATACCTTCGAAGCTAGCGGTGAAGCCGCGATGTCCGACTGGGTTTTTCGACACGTACGTCACCAGCATGCGACTTCCGGTGGACATTATGTGGTAGAACTGGCCGATCCCGCAAAACAGACCTAGGATCGGCGACTTGTGCCAGTAACCGTCCCGCACCTAGGAATACTGGGTTTCCTCTGTATCGTCGCGGGCACCTGATCCTCTACCTACCTCTAGGTAATCGTCCTTGCAGTCCGGGGACTTCGGGATATCCAGCCCCGTGACGTTCAAGACGATCTTCTCGCCGTGGGTTGCCGATATTCGCCATTCGCACCTCACACCATCGTCCGGACTCTTGTCTACGTAGACGGGAGGAAAAAAAGTGGCCACGTTCACTTGGTAAGTCCTCCCGCACGCTGAAACGAACCGTAAACTAGCGCTAGGTGTCGTCGCGAAGAAATGACAGTCGTAAACTCCGAAGTTATGAGCGAATCCCGATCAAAGATGGCGCCACCCCACTGCGATCTTATTTATAGATGCATAAAATCATTTTTGTAGTCAACTCGGCACCGATCGTTTACTTAAGCAAGCAGCATATTTATATTTATTGCTTTGACGTTTTAAGTATTTTACCGTGGTAAAACCCACCCCAACAGATGTTTATTCTGCATTAAGTTGCCTGAGATGGATCGTACTTGTAGAAACTTGATATTTTTATTTGAAACGTTTGAAACGTCTTAAACGTTCTTAAGAGTTCAATCTTAATTGCAACATTCGTGAAAATAAATGTCGTTATTATACATGTAGTTTTGGATTGTTGCTTTTGTGTCACCTGAGGAACGGGTTTTAGTCAACTGTCTACTGTGATAACTTGCATTGTCCATTACAATTACGCAATTAGCAGGAATTTTTGTAACTAGTTTGTTTTTAAACCAACTTTCAAATAAATTAGCGGTGGTGTCTTCATGGTAATCCAGAGAAGAATCTTTAATATTTTTCGCAGACAGAGAAAGTCCATTTGGAATCCAACCATCTTTAGAGCCAGCACGCAAAATAGTTATTCTTTTACCTCTTTTTGATGGCGCGTTTGTTTTACAGTTATCAGTTGAGTCAACCCAACCCTTTTCCGGGGTATCACAAGTGTCGAACCAGGTTTCATCCAAGTAAGTAATTGGCCTTTATTGTTCTCTGTAAATCCTAATTTTTTCTAGATATTCCAGTCGCCATTTCCGAATTCCAAAAGATTCCATTAAAACTAGCATTTTGTCAATTTTTTTTTAAATCTAAAACCCATGTGTTGAATACACTTCGATAAGGCAGTTTTGCCACATTTAACACCGGTTTCATCTTTTTCAAGTCTCCTAATTAAGATATCTAATGTAGGCAAGCTTTGTTCCTCGTATAACTGGTAAATTTTACGCCGTATTATATTTTGAAAAAATTTTCGTTGGAATTTTCGTCAATGTGGTCTTTTCTTCTAAAGATGCTTGCTTGCTGGCACCACGTTCAATGAGAGTCAAATAAACATTGTTTATAACTTCCTTAGTCTCAATACAATAGTGTTTTCTACATTTGGGCGAGAGCATCTCCTGAGATACACTAGACTCGCGCATATTACACATGAAATAAGAATGATTACTAATAAACTTAAACTAAGTAGTATATCAAACCAAAGAATATTAAACACAAGTAGGTATAAAATTATTTTCTATTACGGACCACAATTTTGCCTGAATTTAAATTCCGAAAATTTAGGTAATAATTGTTAGAGAAAAGTTTTGCTGACTCTCGATCTAGTGAATGCGCTAATTGTGCCGCGCGAGCCAACTGTCCGTCCGTAACCATGGCAACCGCCTTTGTTCGCGCCCCGCCGGAGAATTCGCCAGAGTCCACATCTACATCGCGTAGAAAAATACCGCCGCGAAGTACAACAACGCAAGTTGCACTTAGTACTTTTTGATTCTCTTCCCGTTTATCCATTTTTTTGTTAATTGTATTCTGTGAATCATGATTTCTTTTCATTAAAGTTCTTAATCAGAACTTCGGGTCTGATTTCACTGCCGTTTAAACTCCGCCGACAATAATCTTGTTGCATTGTATGTTAATGGCCAACCTTGGATAATCCCATTCAAAAGCAATTGGTCACTTTCTTATATCTAGGAACAGACAATAAACAGTGCCATCTCTATTGTCAATTTTATACGATGAAATATGGAGTTAAATGATGCATCTGTGCTGTGACAGAGAAAAATTCCAACTAACAATTATGAATCACCAACGTCCAAAATTATATTCTATAATTAAATTTGACCTGTAGTTTCTTTCTTTCAACAAGATTAAAAACAATTTTAGAATATCATCCTCAACCTTGTCAACGAGGTGGGACATATTAAAATTACTCCTAAGGCAATTCTATTTTCTCCTAACATATATCCTCACTCAGAGACCTATCATAAAACAAGACTTCTTAGATAATAGTTTGTTTGGTTGTTAATATAATATAAATATGAGAAATAGCTGATTTGACGAGAGACAAAATATCGTTAATATGCGTAGACTAAAAGTGCAACAAATGAATATTTGACCTCAATCCATTGTTGCCAAGTTGCGACTTCACCTGTCTTCTAACATTCTATCGACTCGCTTCACAACATTATTCAGTTAGTTTTGGTAAATTTGTGTTATGCTATGGTTGATGGAACGATAGAAGGTACAACTCGGCAACCATGGATTCCGGTCAAGTATTGAACACCTTCTCAAGCACTCGCGATTAAAAAAGCGGTAAGTACAGTTTTAGGTTAGGTTCATGTTTATGTTTGTGTCAAGAGAGTTTCACATTATCTGTGTATTTATATGTATTTGTTATGTGTATTTGTACCTACGTTGCTATAGTTTTAGAAAAAAATTGAGTAAAAATGTCTGCTTATTGATCAGCATGTCTAGTCATTGTGAAAAACAACCCCCCTCAGATTGACAAACGCGTCAGACATTTTTTCCGATAAATTTATCAGTTAACAGTCTTATAATACACTTCTTTTTAAACAACTAACTTAAAGCGTAAATATGGATAGACTGTATAAACTTGCATTTTTAAAAGTAATACAAATAAAAGGTCACATCGTTCATTTCAAATAAATTAAAATTCTCTTGGCGATATCTAAAACAATGCAACTTTTGTCATTTTGGTAGAATTGGAACTCCTTTTTTTCTATTCTAGACAAACTAAAAATTGCTGATAGTTATTATTGTCCAAAATATATTACTGCCTATCAGTATGATTGTACGATTAAAATTATTGATTATTGAGGTGTTATGTTCATATTTTTTAATTTTTTATTTACATAAATACTGAATTAAATCTTGAAAGTGGATCTTTGTAATCCTATTAGTTTTCTCAGAACTGCTTTTGTTATACTACTTACAAATCTTAACAATCGTTCTTCAGCACTCTTGTTTGTTGTTTGTAGATTTCTATGGATTCTCTGATTTTTCTTTGGTCGAAGATTTGATTAAATGCCAGAATTTTAGCTTTGGTTAGTTTGAACTTTCGATATGTGGGGTCAGGATGATTTTGCTACTTGGTACTACAGCTCACCCGGACATTTATAGAGGAGGTTCGTCTGGGAGATGTCGCCTACGCTCAATCTCACCCGTTGACCGATCTCCGGTCTCTTCCTACCAGGCACATCTATAGGCATGATCGTATCCAAGTAGGTGCCCTTGGAGAACGTGTTCCTAGCGTAGTGCATAATGGAGTCGTAATCGTAAGTGAGCCCTAGCGAGTTGACTTCCTCCTCGTTGAGCTTGTTGAAGTTGTACTCCTGGCCTGAAGGGAACATCCATAATAAACCTCTCCCACTTCCCCCACAGTCGCATACCGCTCATTATGTTCTCCCTGAAGATGTTCACGTGGTTGTCCCGATCGGGTCTGGTATGTTCGTGCCAGAACCCGACCACGTGACCCAACTCGTGGACCACGATGCCGAACTTGTCGCAGTTCTTGCCGATGCTGATCGCCTGACCGCCGTTGCCACGTTTACCCACGAACGAGCAACATCTAGAACGGCGTGTTTCTCAAAATGAGACCGGAAGGGGGGGCGTTAAGGGGGCTTTCACGTAGGTTAGGGGGACGATATTAAATTTGTAATTTCATTTATTCTATGATATATATGATGTTTTAAAAACTTAACTACTACAGTACGATTGAGCATCGAAAGAAACAAACGAGTTTGTCTTGTTCCTGTCGGTTGTTGCTGTATTTAAATCATATTTATTATTTACACGTATACAATATTTTCATGCAAAGATGAACGGATGAAACCGCTGAAAACATGTCATGTTTGTACGGAATATCGCGAAGACCCTGTACAATACTTAAAAACCTTAAATACAAAAGTTTTACCATTTTAATGCTATATCGTCATGTAAACATCTAAAACACAGATTTTAAATTATTGCCAATTTTCAATGTTTTCAATTGTCTCTGCGTCTTCGGGTTCAAGATTTTTTTCCGTCTTGTAAACGTTTTTTAAAAAATTGTCTTTTCTGTAGACCCTTGCACAAGCGATTTTCTTCTTCTTCTTAAAAATTAATTACCTATTACATTGTTTCTTTCAATTTGATTGAAATACATTGTTATAATTGTAAAAATTTCTAGTGTGCAAAAAATGAGGGGGGCGCTGAAAAATAATTGATTTTCAATGGAGGCGTTAAATGAGGTAAGTTTCACAATCACTAATCTAGAACGTGAAAAAAAAAATACCGACGCTAAATTTTGGCGGATGTGCCGGGAAATCGAAACCCACCCGCAGGGTCTTTCGGTGAAGATGATGTAGTTCTGGTGTTCGTCCCTATTCCGTTCGACGAATTTGACGCAGGTAAAGTTCTCCCAGTGGCGCATCGCCTGCTTGAACAGTGCCTTGTGCATCCCGCTAAAGTTCCCGTCTATTTCGTACGGAATAACTCCGTAGTCCCAAATTCGTTCCTTCCTCGCCGTGGCGGCCCTCGCGATCCTCGTCGGAGGTCGTATGTCGGTCTGCTTGCGTTTGAGGTCGAAATGAGGCTCGAACTCGTGAACCGGAGGGTCGTGCCTCCTGGAAGCAGCCGTGGCGCCATCTATGGGACGAAGGTTCAAGTTTACCTCGATTCGCCGAGTTGCCTGCTATTCTGGTGCCTTTTCTTCCTCTTGAGGGCGTCTCTCCGCTTGTCCTCGCGCGATATCCTCGGAGAATACCTTTTCAGGTCTTGCTCCGCGTCGCTAGAGGTCGCGTCGACGAAAGGATCGTTGGCTTTGAACTCGGGAGCGGCTTGTTTGGTTTTCCTGCGAATGAAGTCCGTCAGACCTTCCTCCTCTATTTGGAGGCCCTCCAGCACCTCTTGCTTGTACTGCTCGATCTCTTCCTGTTTGAGTTTCGATCTCGACCTGTAATATTCCTCGTCGGAGAGGGCGATGTCGCCCACCCGCTTGCCTGAAACAACTGCGCAATGCAGGTGCGCCTGGTTTACGGGGAAGAAAGGTACAGGGAACCTCAATGCAGATGCGAAACCTTATTAAGTATTTTCAAGGAAATCACTACCCCACCAAATAGTAAGAAAATTACATTTTTGAATTTTAAAATCTATACCGCTTACTTTTGGATGGAATCGGTGTTTTTTTTTTTGTATAAAGGAAACGAAATTCTTCAATGCCGTATCGGTGTTTATTTTTGCATAAAGAAAACAGTGCTCTTCACATAACATAACATAACATAAATACAATACAAGAAACAAACTCAACAAATGTGAATTGAGAAGACTATAGCATCGAGATGTCATAAATACCTTGCTCCAAAAGTATATAACTGCCTACCTGAAGATATTAAGAAATAAAATTCTTGAAAATTTATTTAAAAAAAAATTAATCCTTGGTTAACTGAAAAACCACGAAAACTTATAGACGACTTCATATATTCTCGAAATATGTATTTATTAGTCAGTACATAAAAAAATGTATAGGCGTAAATCTCCAATTAATTTATCTTTTAAGTAGATTTTTTTTTTCGTTTTTTTCTTTTAACTGATGATTTAATCTTGTTGCCTCAATTATTATATTGTTATGTTTACTGGAACTTGAGACAAACTTGGCTAGTTAAGTAATAATTTTAATTTAAGACAACAAATTAAATAATTTATTAAGTAAGTATAATACAATAATTTACGCTGCCCACGCTCAAGAAATTTCATTAATGGGTTTGTTTCAATTATATTTGCCGTACTATAAAAAATTATACTAACTATATTACTGTATACGAGGTGTGTTCAAAAAGTAAAGAGACTTTTAAGTTTTATGAAAAAGTCTCGCAAAAAAAGTACACGTGCAAACTGGCTGAAACTGTGAACACAGGCTAAGGACATGTGTACCAACATAAAAAAAAAATCGAAGAACGAATGTACACCGTGTGCCAAATAAAACGATCCACTATACGATCTGGAAAGGAGATACGAAAAAAGTTTCGTACAAAAGTTTCTTGAACTCTTCTAAAGATTTCAAATATTCTAATTTTGTTGATACACGGCGGCCCAAAAGTATCCTCCCGACATAAACTTTGTTATTTGCAATGGAAACCCTGTATAGTTCGACATTTTTAAATTCTTGGTTAAAGTAAAGATCACTTTCTTAAAAAATTCCTATTCAAATTTTGCATAGTTTTAGTTACTTGTTTCTGTTTTTTTTATTTTGTTTTATTGATTTAGTTATTCAAATTTGTTACCTTGTTTAGTTAGCCTATGAATTTTAATTATTTATTTTTGTTATCAGGTATTTTCAATCAAGCTAGATAACGAACTAATTAAATGATTCTTTAAATATGAATTCTGAAGTTTTACTAAATTGTGTAGAATAGAGTCGATTTTTTTCAAAATTTCCAGATATTAACGGACGCCCTGTATTGTTAGCAATAGGCTTTATTCGTATATCTGGAGTATTATATCTTTAAAAGATCATTGCTAACAAGTGATTTTGTTAATTGAATTCGCCGAAACGGCACCGCTTTTTTGAGGCACCCTGTCTAAACTGAGGCGCATCTGTCAAACTGATTGAGTTGTACATCATCTCTATAGTCCATGTGATTAAATTTTCGTTGCAATACCTTACTCAGTAGCGTCACAACACAATTTTATATGAGGCAATCAAATATGAAAAAATAACACATAACCTCAATTTCTGCTCAAACCATCCAAAATTGGGATAGCAATTTTTTAAGAAAGTGACCTTTATTTTAACCAAGGATTCAAAAAATGTCGAAATATACAGGGTTTCCATTGCAAATAACAAAGTTGATGTCGGGAGAATACTTTTGGGCCGACGTGTTAAATCGAAAAGTGATCTTTTAAACATCTTTTCGGTGTTGTGGTATTCTCGATATAAAAGTTTTTCTTAGATTCAACATCTGTACGAAAAGTGCTTTCGTTAAAAAGACATTCAGGAGATTTATACTAAATTAATTGTTGTAACAATTGGAAGAAAATTGTATATTAACTTTAAATTGCCATCTTCTATTCTGAATTTGTTCGTAATGTGATCTTTGAATCGCAGCCTAGAGTAAAGGAGTGTCATTAATTTTTATGATCATTTTTATTTTGACATTATGTACCTGGAGGTCATTTCCAAAAACCAACACCGACGATTTAGTTAGATTCAACTGCAGTAGATGATCGGATGCAATTTTATAAAAGTTCTTAAAATAGTAATTTTAGTCTCAGACTGCGTCATTTCATGATGTCGAAAAGAAAAGTAACGAATTTAAAAACACGTGTGCACTAAATCCACTGTAGTGTAAAATTTAAATAAGCTATTTTTGATTGAATACGCCAAAAGCCTTGCTAAAGCCTCACAACTATAATCTTTTTTAAACCCAGACTGTTTTGTCGGTAATATATCAAAAAGAGCTAAACATTTTCTTTTTCTAAAACTTCAGAAAGAGTAGTCGTTTAAATTCTGTGGGTTCTTTACTTTAGGAAGTGCATGCTTCCAAGATTTTGGAAAATAAGAGTTCAATATACATTCCTTTATGACATGTGTAATAGAAGGAATTAAAAAAAAGTACAGTAATATTTAATTTATCATCACCTATTGAATTAGATTTAATATTTTTTATTATGTAAAATATTTCATCAATGTTTGTAATGTGCAATATTTTGCCTATTATTATTATTATTATTATTACTATTACATTTTATTATTATTATTATTATAAATTTTATGCAAAATAAATAACAACTAAAGAAAATCTGAACTTTTAGTTCTTATTTATTTTGATAAATGGATTTTCATCAATTATAAGCCACCTCAGTTCAACAATTTTATGCATATAATTGCGCACGAGGCCTTAACATAATGATATTAAGCGTCTTATTGTGGAGGTTCTTCTTTACTCAATTGTCGCATCTGCATTTTAGGTTACCTCTGACCCGTCTAGAATCTTATCGACCGCGCCCGGTAGACGCGGGTCGCGCATACGAGGGTCGCTCGCTAAGTTTTACCTGCTTTGCACGGGTCCATGTAGATGTCGTCGGACACTTTTTTCGGAAACACCGTCGTCAGCAAATCGTGGACGCTGTATTTGCCGTAACGCGTCTCGGGGGTCGTCGTCGTCGTCCTCTCGTTAACTTGGAGAAGAACGGAGCATTCGACTGCCCAAATAACCGCCCACAAAACGACCGACACTCGTCGCATTTTCGCGAAACAACTTTTGGTCAACTGTTATCGGCGTTCGTCGAGATAAAAGTCGGCGTAATCGACGCGGATGCAAGTCTCCCGATCTGTTTGCATATATACGCTAATCTAGTAAAAGCAGGACGGTTATTAATTGACCTAAGGCCGGCGGATTAATTAAATTAAGTGCCACGGGATATTTAGCGGACGCGTTGTTTGTACCATCGAGTAAAATTATCAACAAACATTAATTGCAAGTTAAAAATAAAGATATTCGAATGGGATTGTAATTTTGCGCACTTTGATGTGTCTCGGTTATTGTTGAAGATAGAAAATTGCGCAACGCCGTGCTACTTCCTTGTAAAATTATCATGGCTTTTTCAGATATAGGGCGAAATTTTTCCGTAGAATTCAGTAGCGTAGTTTGTCCTTGAAATATAGGGTGAAATTCAAAACTATCGATTTTGGGACCGCCCCCGTATCTCCGTTGTCTTAAAAAACGCTCTTGTGGGATTTTTCCGTAGAATTCAGTAGCGTAGTTTGTCCTTACTCGCTCTAACAGTTTACTAGTTACGCGGCAAACATATACAGTGAAAACTCCCTATAAGCGACACCCTGTATAACGTAAAACTCTGTATTACGAACAAAATTTTTTGTTTTCTTTCTTGCACTCTCTATACCGAAAGAAAAAAGGTCACATCAGTTAAAGTCTGTTCGTAGATATAAGAAAGTGACTAACTGATACGAATTAAGGAAAAACCCGGGCAAGCTGTAAGAATCAAATATGACCGAACAGGTCCGTACTTTGCTTAGACTTTAATTATTTGAGTTTTTATTAGAAAAGATACTAAACAATACTTATTTATTTATGTATTTATGTTTAAATCTATCATCGCCTGTTCTAATTATTATTTGTTCTATGTTATTTGCAATATGGATATACGATTGTTCTGCTTTTTCTATATGCTCAACAGAATTTGCCCAACTTTGTTAAGGGATGTTAAAATTCGGTTTCCATAAGTTTGAGGACATTGGAGTTTTACACGAGGAAAAACATTGTTACGATGAATGGCAGATTTCAGTTGGTGCCAAACATGTTCAATGGAATTAAATATACAGCGGTAAGGTGGAAGCCTTAAAACTGTATGCCCTAGATTTTTTGCATAATTATCACAGACGTATTCCTTTTGTAGGTTCAAGCTTTGTAGAACCTCAATTAATTGATTAATTAATTAATGATTATTAATAAACTCAAACTAAGTAGTATACCAAACCAAAGAATATTAAACACAGGTAGGTATAAAATTATTTTCTATTACGGACCACAATTTTACCTGAATTTAAATTCAGAAATTTTAGGTAATAATCTTTTTGCATTGTATGTTAATGACCACCCTTGGATAATCCCATTCAAAAGCAGTTGGTCTTATATCTATGAACAGACCATAACAAAGTAAGGAATGTAGGCCGACTTGTAATTAATAGAGTCTCTTACCTTCTTAGAACTCCTTACCTTAATAATCTAACTACCGAGAACCTGGTCGTCTTAAGTGTTTTTAATTGGAGAAATAGAACGGGGAGGAAAGAAAAGTGATGTGGGTCGCCGATACGGACTTAACCGTCGACTGTATCTACGATTTGGAAGTGCAAAGAAAAAATCATTCAGGCTGAAGCGGTAGGCAATTCTATTAAAAAACTAAGAAAGGAAAAATTTGAAGATATGGATCGGGAAATGTTGCAGTGGTTCCAAGAGCAACGTCTTAATGTACCATTCCGTGGACCTATCGTAAAACTAAAAGCAGAAAAGTTTGCTGAACAGTTTGGCATTATCGATTTCAAGGCTCCGGAAGGATGGTTGGGGAAGTTCAAACAGAGATGATTGGCTGGAGAAGACGTACCCATTTTTAAAACTGGTATTTTTTACAAAATGACGCCATATAATGATCTGGGGCCACCACCAACCATTCAACAAGCCTTATATTCAGTTAAGCTGCTAGAGAAATTTTTTATATATCATGGGGAAGATGCGCCTCTCGAAGAAATGATGAAAATAAAAGCCAAAGTACGAGATACGTATTGGCATACTAAAAAAATTCAAAAGAAAATGACCGATTATTTGAAACATTAAATGTAGTTTTTGAATATTTATATAAAATGTTCCTAAGTAGATATTAAAGTATGTATATAAAATAATTAAATATTACAGAACACATATCCGTATTGTTATTTTTCAAGTGCCTAAAACCCTTTATAACGAAAAAAAAAGCAGTCCTTTCAATTTCGTTATATAGGGTGCATATATATTTTAAATTGACCACCCTGTATATTATTTTTTATATTAATTGGAAATCATTTTAGCTTTCAGAAATAGATATTAGTATTAAGTTATTTTTAACATTAAGTGCACAATTTTTTTTTCATATTTTATTTTATTTGTAGCAGTAGGCCATCATAAATCATCATAAAAGTGTTTTATACGTTATGAACTACTATTTGTAATAATTATTATATATACAATACAATGCAACACAATACAATATACAATTATTGATACGAAATAATATTATTAGGGTGGGGCAACGCGGCAAAGAGGCTCACCTCAAAAATTAACCAATTTTTTTTTCATTATAATTTTAAATTCTGGTTATTTGTACGTTTTTAGCCCTTTGCGTAATACCAGAGGTAAAATTGACAGCGTAAAAATTCTAAAAAAAGCTATTCCATATTATTATAATTTATTGAAAATGTTATTTTTTGAAAAATTCTATGGATTTCGAAAATCTTACAAATACCAATAACAAAATTTTTTAATCGATAGAAAAATAATTACTAATGAGTAACTTTTGTCTCACTAAATACTTTTTAATAAATAATTATTAATTAAATAATTAATAATTATATTATAATTATTAAAATTCGGGTAAATTTAATTAAGTTAGTCAAAAATAAATCGACTTCATGGTTAAAAGCCACAACAAATAATAAAAAGCTTTAATACAATAAAAGCTTATACTTAAAACTGTTGTTCAAATTTTTATTTTTTTATTGGTATATGTATTTTTTTTAAATTTTTTGGGCAGTCAATTTTGGTACCCCTTCTGTTTGTGTTTACAAGATGATGACAGCGTTTGCTTCTCTTTGCTCCCCATTCTTTTTCAAATAAGTTTCAGCACGTGATTGAATAAATGATCCGTGCCTAACTAGATTTATGTTCAGACGAGGAAATACATCTTCAAACGGTTGGCGTCTCTCTGTATATCTATTTACCTACCATACCATACCATACTCACCATATCCCTCTAAAAACCTTACCTTACCATTTTTATTACATTGTAGAGAACATAATAACATATCATATTTTTCAGAATTTTCATTAGAATATTAGAATAACATAATTTTTATCATATTAATAAGACATCATTATTTAAAAAAAATATGTTTTCATCCTGTTTTATCGAATTTAAGAAAAGACTCTCTTGTATGGTAATAACTGTTTAGATGTATTTTATTTTTAGTTGATTTACTATGACCTACTGTTACAAACAAAGCAAAAAAAAGAAGCTTAGTTTTTAAAACCACTTTATACTAATACATACTTTCGTAAAGCTTAGATGATTTCCAATTGATGTAAAAAAATAATATATAGGGTCTTTCATTAAAAAAAATGTTTACTTCATAACTAAGAAACGGTAAAAGCAAAATCTGCGCCACTGGATTCTACGGAAAAAAAACTTATATGATTGTACAGCTACTAGAGTTATAGAGGCCCTGAAATGAAATGAAAAAAAGTGAGGAGACATCTATTGTGTACAGAGCAGCAAAACTATCTCAGCCCGAGTCACTGAACCCGGAATTAAAACACCCCACTCTGCTCTTCTCTCTAATTATTTCCACATTAAAGATATTAAGTGTTCCATCACAAAATACACTTCATCACAACCTTCCAATAGCTACATTCAAAACATTGAAGATGCCAACAGGAAGTTTCTTTGAAAAAGTATTGTAGTAGGCTGTAGAAGCCTTTTTGAAAATTTTTTTATTTCTTTTCAATTTTTTTTAGTCATAATTACATTTTCAATCATGTTGTCGCGAAGTTTAGTACCTTGAACGACCCTATTGGTCCCTTTATATATATAATTTCAAAAATGGATTTGAAAACCTGGCGAAAATTTTTATTAAAATTAAGTTTGCAGCCATACCTAAAAGTATTTTAAAAATTAGTAAAAACCCCACGCTTTCGCGTTTTGTCGTCTGAAGTTAGTTGCTGAAAGATTTTTCGAACTGAATCGAGGGCTGCCAACCGCCAATATAAATCGTACGAGCAAACCGAATTAGAGAAACAAACAGCATTTACTTTGACCCAAAACGACTGCACGACGAGAACATTAAATTGTCTTAAATGATATAGGGGAAACGAATAAGTGCCCGTCCATCATTTTTGATCGGCCAGCGTCTGGCTGCCGACACTTTTTCATTTTCGCCTAACCTAAAAATCTCGATCGCGCTGCCGTCTTCTTTTCCACGGACGTTCTAATTTATTCAATGGTTTTCGCGCAAAATTTGATGCCTTTTAAATTTATATTCCGTGGTTTTTGGCTATACGTTCTCGACGAAGAATCCTCAAATGGCAGAAGAAGCCTAGTATTTTTATAAATACAGCAGTTCGCAAACATATAATGTGTAACTTATTTATCTTCTATGTTTTTTATGTACCTTATATTATTTCTTTTATTTTCTTTTTAGGTTTGTTATAAAGCGACTTCGGTTTGCTAAAAGAGTTTTTTTTGTAATATCTAAGATTCCAGGTACTTGAAGGTAGCAGTTTTTCTGTGATTGCAATTAATTTACGTCTTAAAACCCGATATTTCTTGCTTATCCGGCCGGTTATCGCGGCTCCAAAAGGCCAACCCACCAAGCGTTACCGGAGAATCGAAATTGGTCGGTAACGGCGTTTTTTCGAGACGCCCTCTGTAGCGTTTTCTTTTTCCCCAAGCGAGATTAAAATCACTCCGACGCGCACACTCCACGCGAGACGAAACACCGAAACACCACCGCACCTAAACGTGTCTCCCGCGACGCGAAAAAATAAAAAACCCGTAACACCTCTGCATTGAACCCGATGCTCCGCATCAAACTGCCTCTCCGGGCTATCCCGTCCGATCCCAACGCAGGCACGCACTCATATCGCGTATCGGCCTGCCAGCAGGTCATTAGCGTAACAGGGTTTGGGATGATAATCCGATATCGAGTGATGCAGATGTGCTCTCCCAGCTTCCAATCGGGTAACAGTTTAACAGGTTCCGCCCATCCGCGTGGATTCCGAGCCTGCTTGATTTTCGTATGACGCGTGTGCGTTCTTCGTAGACGTACGCGCGGTAATTTTAAACCGATTGCGCTCCATTACTTGTTCGGGTTGCAAATATTTGCACGGAACCCAAAAACCGTTGGACGCGAAATAAACGGCCGACTGTCTATTCTGTGCCAGCGACACCTGACGGAAAAATGGGCAAACGCGCAAGTTCCACCTCCAAGGATTCGTTTTTTTTGATGAACGTTTTCAGCCGGTCGCCGATAGATGGTGTGAGAATCGAGAACCATGGAAATATTTCCACGGAAATCTGTTATCTGAGGTCATCGCAACGGGACAAGAGAAAGTTACGAAACATTGACAACATAGACATATAATCAAGGGAGAAAGCATTGTTTTGATTTTAAAGTGATAACAATCTTGCTAATATTTCATTGAACATTATCCTTATAGTTCGTAATTAGTAGTTTATAGAAATTTTCACCCCCTATTGCCAAATATTCAATTATTTACTAGATATTCCGGAAAGTGATGTGTTCATTTTAAAACAAACACATTGTTTTGGAATATCTTTATAAACAAATTGAACACATGTTTCACGGCCGGATATTCGCATTGAAATTTTGGTCCACTTGAGGTCGTTACCATAGCAACAGTCCCCCTTACCTTATGCCCTGTTTAGTTGGAGCTCTGTAGAAGACAAAGACAAAAAGAACCAAAACAAAATTTTTATTACTTAAAATCAATACACTCAATTTTCGATAAAAATCATACAATAATACACCTTCTTGCCCCCAACCCAGCTCAATTAAAGTCTCCTAGGCGCTTTTGGATTTTGCCTGCTGCTGTCTCCTCTTGTTGGCAAGATAGATTGTCCAGAAAAATCCAATCAGGTTCACAACCAAAACCCTCAGCTAAAAGATCATTTCAAGCTCTCATCCAAACACCATAAAGAACTTACCATGGGTGGCACCAAGCTGACATTCAGAAGCTGCAGTACTGTCAAATATTTCCAACTGGTGGTCAGAATTGTCCAATACAGACCCCTGAGTTGTTTAACCGCCGTTTTGTGGTCGTTGCCCTCCAAACGCGCCAACGTGTACAAGGAAAATGCTTGATAGAGAGGCGAGTAAACGAGCCTTTCTAGAAACAGTCGTTTAATTATCGCGAATGAGGCTTCGTCTGGTACGGCGTATTCTAAAAACTGGTAGAAATAGTGCGGGATCGTCCCCCCAAATACAAGGCTGCAAGCAAACGCGATAGAAGCGTGTTTGTGGTTTAGTTCGATCCCACCTGACTTACCCGAAAGCACCGTAGGCCAGCAGGCTGTTTAAATCAATCAGTTTTGAGCCAACAATCTTCTGGGACGCATAGTTCCCGGCTAAAGCCACCAAACAACTGAAAACATTGGTTAAATTGGTGAGCCGCAAACGGCAACGGTTTAATTAAATACCAGCTAACCGCCTTAGTTCTCAAAGGATGCTCATATAATTCGCTAAAATAAAAACTTAGGGCGCTGATTATCGGTTTCGAAAGAACCCCCATTATTAATACGCTGGCAAAACCGTCAAGGAACAGCGATTAAAAATAATATTGCCGTTTTTATCATTAAATACTTGATCCTTGGACTATAAACCAAATAAACTTGTTTGAACGAAAGATATCCACAGACCACGTAAACAAACCTACGTGACTTTGATCTTTACAACGTACTCGGATATTTTTTTGTTCCTTTTAATTGGAAATGAATTTCACTGACACTAGAAAAAGGAAAATCTTGAAACAATAGTGACGATTGTTTTATTTGTTTTGAGCAGCTAATTACAAATGTACAAGCGTGCGTCTTAATGCGTACGTGTTCGGTAACACGAGTTTTCCTTCATACAACGCCACAGACTATGTTGTTTTTATTCTGTGACTAACTGTCATATTTGTTCATTCTTTTCTAGCAGCGTTTTAGAAACGGAAACATGAAAGCAAAAGGAGAGGTTGGTTTTAAACGGATATATACCTTTAATTGTAGTATTTATTCAACCATTTGGCGTAGGCATTTATTAGAGTATGTGTTTCTAGTTATATACTGCTTTTTTGTTTTGCTTTTTAAAGGTTAGGTAGTTAGCACACACGTGTTTTAGTCGCTAAAACTGCCGTATTTTGGTTTCTTTCACAACCGATCCGGCCTCTATGGGTTTTTTACGCGTATTCGTTTACTTTTTTCCAGTTAAAGGAATATGAGGTTATCGGGCGCAAATTGCCAACCGAAAAGGAGCAAAACACTCCCCTCTACAAAATGAGGATCTTTGCCCCGGATCCCATCGTGGCCAAGTCGAGGTTCTGGTACTTCTTGCGGCAATTGAAGAAGTTTAAGAAGTCCACTGGGGAAATAGTCTCGGTGAAGCAAATTCCCGAAAAGACCCCAGCAAAAATTAAAAACTTCGGTATTTGGTTGCGGTATGATTCGCGATCGGGCACCCACAACATGTACCGGGAGTACCGGGATTTGAGCGTCAGCGGAGCCGTTACCCAGTGTTACAGGGACATGGGAGCGAGACATCGTGCTAGGGCTCACTCCATTCAAGTAAGGCCCGTTGAAAGAGTGAGAAGAGATAGTACAGTAATTTTTCGTTTCAGATCATTAAAGTGGAAGAAGTGAAGGCGGCGGATACGAGACGGCCCCAAGTGAAGCAGTTCCACGATTCGAAAATACGTTTCCCCCTGCCGAAACGTATCCAGCACAAATCGATGAATAGATTCTCTGTGCGCAAACCCAGAACTTATTTCCTGTAATGTGTTCTTTGTTTGTGGTTTAAATATAATATTAATAACAATTGCCTTATTTCATTTACGCGTTTATTGAAAATTATCGTTTTCACTTTGGCGAGATACAATCCGGTTGGGGGCTGATCTCCGCGATTTCGTCGGTATTGCAGAGATCCTCGCTGCACTGCTCGCAAGTATAGTCCTTGATGAAATCCAACATTTCTTTAAGGTCATGACAACCCGGCCCGCATCCTTTAAAGTAATATTTCAACGGCTTTTCAGTTCGATGGTCCATTTCCCATCCGCTGGCGACTATACAGGTAGGCGTGAGTGTGGGACATTCGATTACATCCGTGCAATTTTTTTTAAGCGTTTCCGATGCGTATCCGCAAGAGTAGCACTTGCTAGCTTTACCACTGACACCTGAAATCGTAAAATAATCCTAGGAAATTCAAAATTATGGACGTTGCCGGTGACATCTAGCAAACGCTCTGTCTAACGAAAGTTTCTAATTTTGTAGCATTTTCACAGATGGAGCCCGCCAATTCTGGTCCATGATTTTAAAAATAGACTTTTTTGAAAGGCGAAAAGATAACAATTTTTCTGTCAGCATGACTAGAAGCTTTATCATAGTGTCTAAGTAGCGTTAATAACAAAATAACAATAGAAAAATCTATTGACGTCTTTTCGTTATCAACGCAACTCACCCTAGAGTGCAGCAATATTAAGCAAAACGCACGACCATACGACTAGCTTATCCATCGTATTGTCAACTATAGTCTCGCCACAGCGAGCGATACTTATAGCCTTACCAATTATCCGTAAATAAAACACATGCGTACTTATATACCCTTTTTAAATAAGGAAACACCCTCGACAATAACTATTATTTGGGCTTTCCTTATCGAAGTAAACAACGTTATGCGATAACTGCGATAATAGAGGCCTCTACTTATTTTTCTAATGCAGCAAAGGTCAAAGTTGTTTATGTCACTTTGTGTGGGGATCTTCGGCGGCCTTGAGAACCACTTTATCCTCTATTTCATTCACTTGACGGCTACAGTAACCGCTGCGCTATTGAAAACACCACGCGTTAACGAAACATGGTGCTCTCGATGGATCGATGGGTGGGCAAAGTTGCGGTCGTAACTGGGACAAGTGCCGGAATAGGTTCCGCCATAGCGGAACTGTTGGTCAAAAGAGGTCTCGTCGTAAGTCTTATGTGACGTTTTTAAATACCTTAAAATAACGAACAAAATACCCCGGAATATTTGGAAACATCAAAACAGCCCCATCATACCGTAGCCTGGACAACTATTTCCAAATGGGAGATCATATCGATAAAAAAGATTTCTGTAATGTATTAAACTCTAATTTCAATACCACGTAGCATAATTTCCTCTTGGAAGTGTAATATTAATAAGGCACCGAGCACATTACACATGTATAGGAAAAAATATGTTCCAATGCTTATAGCAACAAATATATTCAACGCAAAATAGCAGAAAAATGAAAAAAAACTAAGTAATCAAAAAACAAAACTGAAAAGCGAATAGTAAAATGTCAAACAAATAATAAATTAGCCACAGCAAATTTCAAACACAAATAACTTTCATCACAGTAATATAACAGTAACAGTTTCAAGAAAAAAAAAAACAGATAAATATGCATACAATACAAAAAAATTAAATAAAACTCAATGTTTTAACATTTTAAAGTTGTTTGAATTTGTTAAATTTCTTATAATTTGTCTACTATAGGAATACAAAGATTGCGATCATTAAAAAATTTAAATGAATGTATTTGTTGCTTATAGTGTTTTGTAGCAACTGTTATTCCGACGAGTGTAATTAAACACGAAACCGAACTGAAACAATTTACTTTTTCAAATGAAGTGGGTGCCAATACCAAAACGTAATTTAATATGTCACACGTATTAACGCTCGCCAACGGCCATCATCTCGTCTTCTTCTGTTGGCCCCCTCTTATTACTTTTTGGTACCCTGTGGCTCACTTTAGCGGGACCGGGACTCACTTTAGCGGGGAGGCGCTCTGGTCGACGACTAATTCGTTTATGGGCGGATAGATGGCGGTGAGAGTGTTCATTTGTTATAGTTTCAATTTCATGAAATCCGCGAATTGTACAAAAAGGTGTTGAATTTCAATAGGCTGTGAGAAAAAGTGGGTGTGGCATGGAGGCATATTTATTTTTGAAAGAACAGCCACAACAGGAGCACCACTTACCTTCATTGTCTATGAAATCCCAATCTACATGTTTTGCAAAAAACACTATAACACAATACTATAAGTAAATTCGTTATTATTAAAACCCTGACCCAAACAGGCTAAAGTTTGTATTAAAAAAAACTAAGCGGCAATAGAAACCAACAAACATATTCTTAAAATGTTGTTTACCTCAACAATTGTTTGAAGAAATTTGAAGCAAAATAAATACCACTGAAAACAATGCACAGAAACCAGCCCCTTTACGCTTAATATTACCTTTTTCCGGAATCTGCAAAGGACATTAAGGTTAGGGCATCCTAACCAAAATCAACCTACTTGTTTTTTAGATCTTGTCTTCAACTTCACACTGCAAAGAAATTCTGTAATCCCTGTAGATATCTCCAAGTAAATTAATATTCTAAAATCTATGCCCAAAATTTTCAAGCGTTGGAAAAAAATCAAAAACCAATGATATGATATAATTAGACGCCATATTCAAATGTTATTTTAAGTAAAAACAGCGCCACCATACCGAGGCCCCGATAACTATTTATTATTTATTATGCACGGTTGCGTTTGCGGTCGTTTCCTGGTGGCTGGCCTGGCGCGTAGGAAAGAACGCACAGAAAAACTGGCAGCAGAGTTAACCGGCGAGAAGGGGAAGTTACACGCGGTACGTTGTGACGTCACAAAGGAAGAAGACGTCGTCGAAGCTTTCGCTTGGGTCCGGGACAATCTGGGACCGATTCACGTTTTAGTCAACAACGCCGGCCTCGAACAAGCCACCGACCTCATCGACGGCGATACGGAAAAGTGGAAAAAAGTTTTGGGTGCGTACTTCTTGGGCGAAACCCCAATACGTATTTTCTTCCTAACCAGACACGAATATTCTCGGTTTGTGCATCGCGACGAGGGAAGCCGTCCGGGACATGACGGCCAACGGCGTCGACGGCCACGTCATTAACATCAACAGCATCATCGGGCACAAAGTGTTTTATTTTCCCAAGGTCAACATGTATCCGGCGACCAAGTTTGCGGTCACCGCGCTCGCCGAGACTCTGCGGCACGAGATCAACCGAAATAACCTCAAAATCAAGATCACGGTAATGGCCGACTTGCGAAAACCGACCCCAGTTCTGTGATCTGTGACTTTCGCAGAGTCTGAGTCCCGGTTTTGTCACCAGCGAACTTATGAACGCGAGTTACGGCCGCGAGGTGGCCCTGGCGGATTTGAATATGGATTTCGATCCGTTCTTGAATCCGGATGATATCGCGCACGCGGTCGAGTACGCTCTTTCAACCCCTCCGCACGTCCAGGTATTGTTAGTTCCGATTTTCTGGTTGTTTTTAATCGATTTTTGGGTTGTAGGTTTCAGAGATTACGGTCAGACCGGTAGGAGAGAGATTCTAGAAATTATCCTGCATGATTTTGCGCAAATAGAAACAATTACTGTCAACGATAGATTTGTTTTATTAAAGGCTGCTGTAAACGTTTTAGGGATCAGTAGTTTATGGTAATATACTAAATAAAAGAAGTACTAATGAACGAATTCATTTCCTTGCACAGTCTTCTTATTCCTCGGACAAATTTGCGAAAGACACTCGCCCATTAATGGTTGAAAAATGGTAGACTTTGATATTCCTTTTTAAATCGTTAAGTATTTGGTAGTACCTGGCTTTATTTTTGCAGCTACATGGTTACATAGTAAATTAAAAAGGTCGAACTGTACGTAATAATTGCTTGCGTTTTTTTTAGACCTCTACGACAAGGAAACCTAAGCTAATCGAACCCAATACAAACTAAACATCAAAAGTCTCATTTTTTCAATACTGCGCACGAGGTGTCTTAATTTTTGAGATGCAGGGTGACATTAACTTTTTAGAAAAAATATGTTTTTCATAATAATTGTGAAACCGGAGCAGCAATCTTGGTGCTCAGCTTCTATGGGCCAAGAATTATTTCTTTTAAGAATCATATCGAATTAATTTCTATTCCCTCTTCGTTTTCTATTGACTGGATGGAGCATTTAACATAGGTGTTAATTCGGAGTGAAAATGGAGTCTTATTCTTACCCGCTTTTACTCAGTTAGGCAAGTTAGCTAAGGACGATCGCCCATTAACAGACTCCCAATGGTAGACAATCACGTCGTTTTTACTACTTCGGGCACTTTACGTAAGGCCACTCGCCCATACACGGTTGGTTTACCTTTCTTTTTTGAGTTGTTTACTATCACTTGGTTATAATTTTGTAGGTAGAAGGTTGCTTGATTTTTTTATGAATAATAAGAAGACACTACGTTGTTGTGATTGATTGAAGTTCTTCAACCCTAATTAAGGATCTATTGTTCCCAGGGTGTTTTCCAATTGAATGTCAATAATTAAGGGGGCGATTTTTGGGTCCATTTTGAAAAAAAAACTTAATATTTATAGATGTCCTAAACGTCTTACTTTTTGAGATGCCATGTGGTTAAGTTATTAAAAGTATTTTTTTTTAATATCTGTAATACCACTTTAGACATGTTCATGAAATTTGGCACATACATATCAAGAGGCATTCTTTAGTGTACCACATTTTATTTTGGCAGACAATGGTGGTGCGCCACTGAATTTCCTTAAAATAAAAATAATTCTTACAATCTAAACTCATTTCTAAAGCAATTAAATATTTTGATCTTTGTGCGATGGTCTAAAAAAAAATAAGGGGTCAAATGCAAATATTACTATTTTTTTAAGGAAATCAGTGGTGTGCCACTGTCTACGAACAAATAATATTTTTTTTGATTAGGTCGTCACTGTACTGCTTAATTCGAGTTTTTTTTTGTGAAAAAATAAAATTTCTATCTAAAAGAAAATATCTAGCTTTTAGTGACCATCTAGTGTAGAAGACTGTTCTGTTTACTTTTACAATTTAAATGAGATCTCCTAACATCCTAACAACAAGAAAAATAATAAACGATTCTAATTTAAAAGAAAAACACTGCCCACTATTGTTTGTTAATAAATTATTAACACCCTTTTTGAAAAAAAGTAGAACATAGGAAAGAGTCCAGCACCAAGTTCAGGATTTTCATCAATATGTAGACCACTATTTTTTAAAATAACAATACTCCATTTTTTGAAGAATTTCAATAAAACAGGTAGACAATTACTTAAGTAAGATACAACATTTAACGTATGTTGTTATGACCATAATAATAATTTTCATTTTAAGAGAAATCTCTCGAAAAAAAAAAGTCGCTGGTAACCAGTTCGTCCCTATCTGGCGGCCGCAGCCGAATATATCCGCGTTCTTTCTTCGGGTACCGTCGACGGCGAACCACCGTACCCTCGGGCCAGGTGGGTTTAGGCGGAGGAGGTTCATGGCCAAAGAATGGCCCGACTCCAACGATAAGACTCAGTTTCGCCGCAAACGCATCGACGCGGCGTACGTGTCCGCCGCTTTCTGGCCATCAGTGGCGTCGAATCGACGTTTTCCAACGCAACCGGGTGACGTTTCACTCGAAACGAGCGCACGTACAGCAACGCGGATCGTCTTGTTGTGATACCAGCGACTACTTGTTGCCTGGTTACCGTCGCGGCCGTCTTGATTAGTTTTTCTTCTTCTTCGCGAACATACACGCGGAAGTTCGCGACCACGACTCGAAATTGGGCAACCGATGCGTTAAATGGACCAACGAAAGTGGTTTAGATCGATATAAACGTGTGTGCGCGTCCGCGGGGCCCGAAACTGGTCCGACACGCCTAATAGTTGCTTTTCGAGCAGGTTTGGTTCTTCTTTTTACGTTTTCTGTGAGCGAAGTTTGCCACAAAAGGCTTCCCGCGATACCCCCGTACACGAATTTTTCGAAAATTTTTGTATTTTCGGAAAAAAGCACCTTTCAAATAGTACACTCACGAATTGTCGAGAGGTTTTTGAAGGAAAACAAAGTTTACGACTTACTGATCATTTAACCTCACTTCGTCGCCTATTGCACCGCAATTTTTAATAAAAAATCACTTAAGAAACGTAACCATTTATTATTAAGCGGTTTTCGGAAAGGGATGCATTGAAAGTTTGTTTTTTCTTTACGAACGATCGAGGTTTTGGTTTCTTCGGCCACCGGAGCTTACAAAATTTCGTCAAGAAATGAAAATGCTTAGTTCTTGCTGACGTTTTCGAATATCACAGAAGCACGAATTGGTTATAAATATGTCAACACTGGGATCTGTAATTCGAAAATTTCGAAATAATCCACCATTTGTTGTTGTTATTTTGTTTGTTTGTTGTTGAAAATACAAGAAAAATAAATACAATCACCAATATATAAGTATCCATCGTTTTTGTTATATTTATTCATTAGAATTCATTAGAATGTAATGTAATGTGTCACGGAATATAAACAACGACGGTATTTCGAACACACGGCGACTTGATTTTAAACGAATTAACGATAAAATTGAGATTTATATAATCGAAAATACCTAAAATCATTAAAGGCAACGTTCTCGCGAAAAATATATAAAAAATACTGGTTTCCCCTTTTTTCTTTATCCAAATTGAAAATATTTTCCATAAACTGTTGATTCATCGCGAAAATCTTGACAACTTTATCCGGGGGACTTCGCAAATTATTACGCCTCCCAAACATCGTGCTCTGAAGCACTTGTATAGGGTTCTCTGCAGTGGCGTGCCTATTAAACGAATGCGGAAGGTACCGGACGATTAGAAATGTTTATGTTTAAAGATAATATCGATTTTTTTTTTGTTGCTGTCCAATACGGCTTGTTGTGATACTTGGATACAAGAATTTTTCAATTTTTTTTTATAACAACAAAGAGTACTTTTCAAATAGTAAATGATATAACAGTTCGTAAATTATCACGAAATAACCGCCTGATACTAAATGGTTTTTTGGAGAATACTATAGAATATCGATAGTTTAATTAGAAGAAATTCCGTCGACGTTGCCAGCTTTACAAATAAAATCACTAGTCTTAATGTGTTTCTAAATAAAAAACATCAATACTGTTTAGTTAATTTTTTTTATTATACGCCAAGTAATCACAATTTTTTCCGCCATTGGATAGTACATTTACATATTGAAAGAATGAAAATATTTTTGTTGTTTGTTGAAGTTTGCAAATGACACAGAAACAAAAATTTATTATATGTACATTTCGCAATTTGTTATAAATATGTCAGCACTCTACAAATCTATCCGGAAATGTAAGTTTTAGGGTATCTATTCTTTCTTTTTTGGGAAACTTCTGAAAAAAAAAAGGATTAAAATAAAATACGTACTTTAATTGAATTACTGATTTAGTGCGAAATTATCAGAAAATCTTGACAACCTCCTCTGGCATGCCTCCGGAAATCCCTCTACCTCTTCAAAACCGTGCCTTTAAGCAGTGGCGTGCGTATTAAACGAATTTGGAATGTACCGGACGATTAGAAATGTTTTATGTTTAAAGATAAAATGATTTTTTTGTTGCCATCCAATACCGCTTCTTGTGATACTTGGATACAAGAATTTTTCGAAATTTTTGATAATACTACAAAATACCTTTCAAATGGTAAATGATAAAACAATTCGCAAATTATCACTAAATAACCTGATATAAATGGTTTTTAGTAAGAAATATCGATAGGGTAGTTGCGGTTGATAGCAATGGCCGCCAATAAATTTGGTCGACGTTTACAAATATAGTTACTGGTGTCAATGAATTTATAAATAAAAATATTAATACTGTTTAAAACTAATTAACTTGTTTTTATTAGATGTCAAGTAATTGCAAATTTTTGTTATATGTTTAGTATATTTTTTAAAGTTTCTCACATAAAAGATTGGTTAGTTCCGCCATTCGATAGTTGCAACGTTTACATATTGAAAGAATTGAAACATTTTTGTTGTCTCTTGAAGTTTTCAAATGACACAGAAACAAAAATTTATTATATGTACATTTCCCAATTTGTTATAAATATGGCAATACTACAAATAAAAATCGGAATAAAAATATTAAAATAAAATACGTACGTATAACTCGTTACGCTCCTCTTTACTATTTCTTCGTTAGAATCAAGTTGCCGTGTAGGTAAAATACAACATACAACATAATTATAATTAAGTTGGCAGCATTGGCGCTCAACCTAAATTTCATGTGTCACGGAATATGAACAACGACGGTCTTTCATACACACGGCAACTTGATTTTTGCAAACTGAAGGATATTTAACGCTTGACGCGTCGAGAGACTTTCGGTCTGTAAATAATAACAATAAACTCGGAAATAAAAATTTAGTACTAAAAAGAAGTTAATTTGAACACTGGCACGTTCAAATGTTGCATTAAAATCGCTCACAAAATAAAAAGTTATATATAAAAACAATTTTTTGCTTTTTTTTTTCATGTTGACAATTTTATCTCGCGAGACTCCGCAAATCCCTGTGCCTCCTCGAAATCGTGCCTTTACGCAAAAGTTTCTCTGCAGTGGCGTGCGTAGTAAACGAACTCGCAAGGCGCACACGATTGGAATCTTTTAAATTTTTAAGCGGCAACGTAAATTTCGATTCAGTGAGACGCGGCTTACCCGTTCGCATGTCAACGGAGCTTATCGTCTCTCTATGTGTATTATCATATCGTTAAAATTACGTGCTTTCGTGCAATTAGCTGTATAATACGCGTTTCCACCGTCCTGGGTTGTTGTTGAGGAAAAATCGCTTAAACATGATGAAGTTTTCTAGAGAAAATTTGATTATATGTTTTTTAAGTGCTCTGAAAAAAAGGAGCTGGTTATATTGAACATTGAATTCAGTTCTCGTCTAATTTTGTTTAATACAGCGACAATGGTTCAGAAAAAAAAAACATATTATTTGGAGAATGAAATTTAAAATCTTTTACCGTGGGAAACGAAACTGACAAAATGCTACTTTCCGCACGCTAGATCTGTGTTTAATTAAGTATTTTACAAAAGGGAGTAGAAACAAATATCAAATTGATTGATTTACGGATATCAAAGTTTTTAAAATTAATCTACGTAATCTTACTATATTTTTAAAATATATAAATGGAGAGCTTATAATAATTTTACTGGACTCAGAAAGTGATACTGAAAGTAACCTTAGTGACTGAACTTTAGATGAGAAAAAGACTCTCATTTAGTTAAAACGTATTTTGAAATCTATGTGGTGATATTTATATTTTTATATTTATATTCAGATGAAAAAGTTAAGAGGCAAAAAAAAAGTGTTTTTGTGTAAATGTTAGCTCTTATTTTTCAAAATATAATAAATTTTTTACTAAAAAAAGGTGACGGGTATAAAATAAAAATTAGGGGACATTGTGGGGAATTGCTAGAAATTAAGAGCTATGGGAAACGTAGGCATTGTGAAGAACTGTGGGGCCATTGGAGGGCATTATGGGGACTAGTCAAAAAATACGGTTTTACGTTTAAAAATAATTTGTAATGGCTTTATTGCAAATTTATGACGTGCAAGACCTCGAATCGTAAATTTTCCCAAATTAATTTCACGGTAAAAACCGCGATATACGTAAAAGCCTGGTTTTCCCGACTACCAGTTTACATTCTCGACGCTGGTGGTGAAAATAATCGATACGGCGGCGGCTTTTCAAACGCCCCCCTTTTCAATTAGTCCGGGCGATCGATGGCGACCGGAAAAGGCAAACAAACATGGGTCTACGTAAAAATAGTTGACATTTTCGTGGAAGCGCAAAGATCATTGGCTTTCGGTTCCGTAAATATCCCAAAACTGAACTAAAACTTTCAACGTTTCCAATGAACCCGACGAAGGCAAAAAATCACGAACTTCTAAATACAGAGTGTCTAGATAGCGTGTCAAAGTAATATATCGTGTTTATTATTTGTTTTAGAGAATTATGTTATTGGGTTGTTCGGAAAGTCATTTCGTTTTTTTTGGGGAACATGAAAGACAGTTTTCGTATAATGAATAAATATTTTATTAAATTATATATTGGCCATTCTGGTCCAACACCTTTTGCCATCTTTCTGGCAGTAACATAATTCCCTCTCATAAAAGTTTTGGTCCTTGCTGGCAAAAAACTGGTTCAGGTGGTTTTTGACATCTTCATTTGAGGTAAAGGTTTTGCCATCCAAAAAATTTTGCAGGGACCGGAACAAATGGTAGTCGGAAGGCTCCAGATCTGGAGAATATGGTGGATTGCAGTACGTCCCATTCAAGCTGTAAAAGTTTTTGGCGAGTGACCAAACTTGTGTGAGGTCTCGCATTATCCTGGTGGAACACTACACCCTTCCTGTTGATTAATTCGGGCCTCTTCTCTTTAAGTAAATCATTCAATTTGTCCAGACTTCTGAATTAATCGTTGTATTGTCCGGCAAAAGCTCAAAAAAAACGATTCCTTTGACATCCCATCAAACGGAGAGCATCACCTTTTTTTGGTGAATGTTGGCTTTTGACACGCTTTGAGCCGGTTCATCTTTTCTGCTCCATGACCTCTTGCGTTTAACATTGTTGTATACAACCCATTTTTCGTCCCCAGTAATAATCCGCTTCAAAAATGGATCATGTTCTTGACGTTTGAGGAGCGAATCACACACGTCAACGGGACGACACAAATTTCGCTCCGTAAGGACATGGGGCACCCACACATCGAGCTTCGAGGTTAAGCCTATGCCTTTCAAATGGCCATAAACAGTCGACAAATTTAATCTCTCACCGATCTCTCGTGTGGTTATTCGCTGATTTGCATCAACTAATGCCTTTATCGCATCTTTGTCAGCTTCGAC